TTTGTAAGTGTTGTTGAGGCAACGAGACGACCGTGCGAGAGTGCGCAGGAATGAGCTTCGAACGGTGAGATGATAGTGGGAAAGTTTAGAGAGGAAGCAAAGACGTGCAACCTTGCAGCGTACCTCCAGAGTAGATAAATTTAGGCTCATTTTCATAGCAGAGACACTGTTTTTATAGTCATAGTTTGATAAAATATAGCAGGTTGCTCGGTTTTAAATTGCTTCATGTTGGGTGATCTAGTAATTTTGGTGGGGATTCCATATTGTAGAAGCATATTCCAATTTTGGGCGAATGAAGGTTTCATATGCAAGTTTCCTAAGCTTTGGAGGAGCAGTATTCAGGCAACGCCGGATGCAGCCAAGGGTCCTTACTGCGTTCGAAGAAATTGTGTTAAGGGGATTAATCCATATCATATTGGAAGTTAGTAGGACATCGAGATATTTATACCAATCGACTTGTTTGATGATCTCGTCGCCCAGCACATACTGGAAGGAGGGAGGGACTCTTTTACAAGAAAAGTGGATTAAATTGCATTTAGATTTATTTAGTGGCATCTACCAATTGTCACACCACTAAGAGACATTATCTAGATCCTTTTGGATGAGTTTGCGGTCATTAGGTGAAGTGACCTCGCGATATAGAACACAGTAGTCTGCAAAAATATGTATGCGAGAAGAAATAGAATTTGGAAGGTTATTAATAAATATTAGAAAAAGAAGAAGCCCAAGGACTGTGTCCTGGGGCACGCCAGATATGACATTAATTAAATCAGATTTGCACCCATTTAAGACTGTGTGCTGCATTCGCGAGTCAAGAAAATTACGTATCCATGTTAAGACTTGGGGTTCAGATCTAAACTGCTACCCAGTAGATCTGCACTGCTACCCAATAGATGGCGCCAGTGTATCCTCTCTTCGTAAGAGATATTAAGAGGTTTCAAGGCACTCTGATCTAAGAGGTGGCATGTGTGTGAATGGGTCTTAAGAAAGCAAATACAAACTTTAAGGAAGGATGGGAATTTTACTTTCTTGGACAATATTTATGTAATATTTCTAAATTATGTTATATATAGTTTTAATATGCACAACAGTAAACATCAGATGTTTCGTCTCCTGAATGTCTGAGTAAATTGTTAATATTTGTTATGTCAAGTTGGTGTAGTTTGCATTATCAGTAAACATGTTATATAAATTGTCCGGATGAAACATACAAGTGTTACAAGAGTTGTTGAAGCCGAAATTTGAAAGTATTCTAAAGGCATACCTGATAGGGGAATCATAGTGATCAGAGTATTTTTACTGGTTGGCAATGAAGATAACAGCCTAATTCTTACCTGACCTAATTTCAGCTAGCCTTCAACTTGTCACATTATCCAGTTATAGCATTACATATTACTCTGCCTAGATCTCTCTGAAAGTTTACACCCTCACTCCTACAATTAATGATACAACTCGAAACCAAACAAGTGTGCACTTCACATCAGGAAGCAATGCTTGGGCTGTGTTACTTTTGACAACATTGCCTAAATTTTAAAAATCAGTCATTGCCATATTTGTCTATATTTCGTTTGTCAAGATGTGGGGCTGACATCTTTCTGAAAGGAAACAGACTATCTTTAGCAATGGCTATTTTGTGCCACATTGTCAAGGCTAATGGCGTAGCTTTGGCAGCGTTCCATCTCTGCCAAAGGCATGTGCAGATGAGACAGAGTATGAAGCCGGGCTGCAGCACTGTGGAAGCTACTCTAGCCCTGACAGCGTAGAATAAAACACTTGACGCCAAATATGGTCTCATGTCTACCTTCTAATAAGACAGTCTACACACTCGAGAAGAAAGAGTCAACATTTTTCAGAACCTCGAATCACGTTGTGTGTCGTCAGCAAACCAAAGATCCATAGTTTTTCACCATTACTAAAACAGTAGTTGTCGACGAGCAATATGCTCTCCTTGCCCAGCAAGATATCTGAAGTTAAAAATCTGAATTCGGTGCAGTCTCTAGTCAAAATATATTGTTCATAGGGTTACCAAGTTATTTAGTGCTGCTGCTAAAAACTACCTTCCATCTAAAAACACTGTTGGACGTCCTGAATTTCTGGACCGTGGGGTGTCGCACTCCCAGTGATGTGATTGCTGCCCCAATTGCGTCAAACTGCGCCAAGGGGCTAACCCTGCTACGTCCTGCTACATTTTGCCAAAATATGGGTAATCTGTGCCAAGCCTGCGCCAAAGGACCAATTTTGGTCGCCTTTCAAAACCGAAACTAAACTAAGTACCGTCATTGAGTATGCGTGAGCTAGGTGGCGCAAGCGGCCGCCCGACACAAGGTGCCCTGCGTCAATCGTCCATCTGGTCTTGCATGGTATTTTTCCGCCGTGCCCTCTTTTTCCGCACTCTCGTCGTCTCGTGTAAGTTTCGTCTCGCGGCTAGCGTGCTGGCCTTGCTACCAGTCATGACGTCAGACTGTGAAACGAAACTACGTTTCTGCGCAGCGGGAGTCACTTTTTGAGCTGAAGCACTCGCTTCCGAAATCAACGGCCGTGTGAAAACTATATTTTGTCCTTGCCTGCCAGTCTGCACGACGCTGCAGATATGGAGCTTCCTAAACTGAAACATAAGGACCGCCGCTTGTTCATCAACATTCCTGTTCCTGTTTAAAACATATGCTGCTACAAAAAATTCCTCTTAAGTGCTGTGTCGAAGTTTTGATTACCTAGGTTTCTCTTGGTGGGCTTTCTTTCGAGAGGGACCCCGGTACGTGAAAAATGTGTCGCGAAAGAAAGTTGTGAAAGAAAAGTGAGCTAAAGCAAAGAAGGCAATGTCTGCACACTGAACCCGCACAGCGCGCTTGTTTGTCTCGAGTTCAGGTGTTGCACAAAGCGCTCCAAGAACTTTTTGACCCTGACCACGGTGACCCTGACTCACGGTGTCCTGCATCGATGCGCCCAGGTTCTTTTTATTCTGTATGTTTAGCTTGTACCTAGCCTGCCGGCCTGGCAAGCACGCGGCACTGGACTGTCTTTTGTCGCATTCTGAGCGGTTACATTTTGCATACATTTTTGGCAACCAGTTGGCGACGGAGCGGAGAGGCATGGTTTCGGTTTTGATCGAACAGCCGTTTCGCTCGCGCGACGAAGCGCGTGTACCTGCAAGCCTGCCGGAGTTGCCCTCACGTGCATGCGAATATGATTGCACGACAGAGGCACCAGCCGGAACGCTTACAATCTATGGTTTCACGTGGGTCCGTATCACATGAGCGAATGATGTTTTAGCGAACAGCGACATTTGAGCGAATTGACGTTTTAGTGAATAACGGGGGCACAGGTTTAACCCACCCCCCTCATTACAAAAATGTGAGCCGACTTGGCTCACCCGAAAACGCAGCTTCGCGGCGTCCGACTATTCGCTAAAGCGTCACTCGGTAAAACTTAGGCGTTCGCTAAAACGTCATTCGATCAAGCGAGTGCCTCCCCATTATACTAGCCTAAGCCAAAGCAAAGCTTACAGCAGCCTTGCAGAAAGTTTCGAAAAGCAAAAAGTTCCCGCTAGTCGTAATGCACCCTTTTCTTGTGTACAATTTTACATTGCACTGCAGTTGTTACGTCTTTCATCAGTCGGAGACTGCTTACATTTATTATATTATATAACTAGTCAACATAATGCTGTGATATTTACTACTAAGCTGGTCGTTTTCAAATAAATTATAATATGTGTAGTTTGGTTCTTATCTATCTGCAGTGTGCACATATATATGTATCATTTAACTGAAGCATTGCAAAATGTGTCAAGTCATCGGCATTTCAATTACATCTTGAAAGTCTCCCAGGTGGTCGAACTTGACCATAATTCGTTTATTTCGGCGAGCAAGGTACCCTTCGCGGGTCCAGCACTTTAAACGAATAGTTTTATTTTTTTAAGAATATCTGCTTCGAAAGCCCCTTTTGCTGCTCCAAAGCACTGTTTTGGCTGCTCCAAAGGCCACTTTTGCTGCTCCAAAACACTGTTTTGGCTGCTCCGAAAGCTGCTCCAAAACGGCTTAGGCCAGTCACATCGCTGCACTCCTACCAGTGGTTGAATACATATTCAGAAACAAACTCTACTCCATATTCCCGTATAATAAACAAAAATAAAACTTTCCCAACATGTTCTTTGTAAGGGGGGGACATAAACCTGAGTTTAAAAGTTTTTTGAAAAAATTATTTTTTCAATTTTGAGGTTTTAGGCTTTAGAAACTAATTATACACCCTTACACTAAATTTTATAACAATGCTCCAAATAGTTATGTTGATATAAAATATTTTCACCACATTGTGAGGCAGTAACAAAGTAAAGGAGTTCAATGTTTGAATTCATTTTTCTCAGTTCCACTTTTTGCTGCAAATTTCATACGAAGGAATCTTTTGTTCGAAGGTAAAATTATTCCAATACCATAATCAAGATATTTCTGAACTGAAATTTACTGGGGAACCGGGTTATCTACTTTATTTTGTTTTTCATCAAGTCCTCATTGAGAAAAAACTGTTTTAAAAAATTTACATAGGACAGATATGCATTTCATATTTTGAGGTAATCACTCTGAGTTATAAAAACAATAGCCCGAAGTCCCACATCCCTCACTTTATACTCAAGCAGTTAAAATGATGCTTAATAGCTTCATTTGCGTATCATAGATTTCTTAACAAAGAGTGACACATCTTCTAATGCAGGTTTTTAAAGTTGTCCTAGAGGGCTGAAAGTTTGCACACTACACCTATATCTGAAGTTAAATCTCCCCTGCAAATTTCATTCCGATCACTTGAGTAGTTCAGAAGTTGAACCTCTAGCCAGTGTCCCCCTTGATATATGTCTTGTCTTAGGAAACAACTCTATCGGGGCTACTGGCCCTTGGGTCCTGCTTGTTGATTTGCACGATAAATCTTTCACAATTGCTCCGAATCTGTAGGGTTAACGATTTTTCTTTTTATTTCATTAGTCGTGACCAGAGGTGTTGTGTTGTGTGCAGCTTGTCACGGCCGAAGGCAGCAATGTCTCGGACAACGCGTCGCAGTGCACTGAGACGCCCTCGCAGCGCCTGGAGACGCGGCTTGCTCCGGAACGTTCTGGGGATGGACGGCCCCCCTCCTTCCAGTAAGGGCACTCTTCGTCCTCTCTCTGGCAGACTCTCTCTGGCTTCCCCTAATGACGAGAGAGCAGACGACGCCGTCACTCGGCCGGACCTTTTTGAGACGAACCGAGCGCTCTCGGACAACAAAGGGAGTTCACGGCCGTGCTTGACCCCCCCCTCTTTAAGGAATTAAAGACGGTCCCACGCTTACTTGCGGGCAACCACGGGCTACCGGTCGTCTTTGTTGCTGCTTGGATAGAAAGAGCGGTCGATGTAAAGCCAGCGGGAGCTTGTCCTTGTCAAGTGGTGCTGCAATTTCTTTTTTTTTTTTGAGTTTGCAAGTGCAGTGTTTTTAGTTTTTTTTTAAGCGGCAGTTGGTGTGCCCTGTTGGCTCATTGTAATTTTATTTATTTTAGACGATGCAGGTCTTTTTTTCGGGCTCCAGCAGGTTACAGATTTAGAAAACAATCAGTAATAATGCCTTCCATACACAATGTAAGAAAAGAAATAATGACACGCTTTAAGTTAGTTTAGGTTTAATGAGTTTGAACCGGAGTATTACTGAGCTGTATTTTGTGTTCTGCCAGATCAAGTGTTGCTGGTCTAGCAGCCCACTTTTGTTCTCATTACGGAATGCCGCAGTCCTTGTGCTGTTTTTAGAAGCGTTGTATCCCTCTCCCCCTGGACATAACAAGCTGCGACACTCAATCTCGCCTTTTTCTACTTCTACTCTGTAGTTTGTTTCTAAAGAGTTCATAGAATGGGATCTAACTTTTGTGTTTCATCCCTAATCTGGGCCAAAGCTTTCTCAAACATTGGCAGGTACACCAGAGAAGCATCAAAGACTGTTATGGCTCATATTGTTTGTCGTAGCATAGTCTCTGCAGCTCTCACTTTGTCAGCCTACTGCCAGATGGAGCGCCGATATAACAAATATTTTTGCACTTAATGTGTTTCGTTTAGGGATATTCTAGTGTACCTAGTGCGGCATCTGTATCGGTACATGACCGATGACCGCTTGGTTGCCACAATATAACCTTTTATTATGGTAACTTCTCATTGCAATTTACGGAACATACTTTTCACGTACTAAAAATTCTGCTTGTTCGGCCCATCTCCTCAATCTCCAACAGGTAGCTCTTGCGCATTTTTACAAAGTTAAAAATACTTGTGAAACAATCTAGATGGATGACAGAAAACTGTGGATCCTTTATCATAAAAGTGTTGCCCAGCTTCATTCGGCAACACCTAACATGTGACCCTTTTGCGAGGTGTGCTCTTTGCGCTTTTATATCCTATAATAATGTGCCAATGAATTTAGTCCATGTATAATTTCTCCTTTGATCACCATCAACCAGAATCACCTCCGCTTTGTGGGATATGGTAGGCTGGCTGGCCATATGCTTTAGCGGCTGCAGTCTTGTCCAAATGTCAAACGTGACGTTGAATCGTTGACACCAGCGAGGATTCGTGTGTTGGGCGCATTTGGAAATGTTGTGCCATAGGTTTTGCATAATTGTGACCTGACCCTCGCCCCTTTTCTTTTCCCCCCTCTTTCCTTTCCCGAACTCCTTGCTGTCTTAACAGCCCCAATCTTTTTGACTGTAGGGACGGGGACACCACCTTCACGGAGTCCGAGTCGATGGTCAGCTCTAGGAAAGGTAACAGGCTCGCTCGCTTGCACTCCTCCACTAAACTGTGCCTTCTTATCGATAGCCCCGTAGCAGCTCTTTGTGCCATATTTGAAACTAGGGTTGTGCGGCTATTCCTGGTAACGATTTCCTTTTGCTTTGAATTAGAATCAAGAATTGAATCGGTAATGTCCTTGCCTGTGACGCGAGCTTGTGCTCATGCTGTATGAAAACGGGCGTGCTTTCTTTGCTTGCAATGCTCCTTGTAGAAAATATTGTTAGGACATTCGACCTGAGGCATCCTTGCACAAGTTTTCTCTATAGCTTCACTCACTGCGGTGTTAATGTTAGAATATGCCGGTATGTTTGTGGCCCCCATGTCTCGCAACTTTTCTGAGGTTCCGCCTTTTTAAACCCTTTGCTTGTGGGAAAATCCAGATCGGGTACACACTGTATTGGCAAACATAATTCACTCGTTAGTGAGATTCCTTTGTTTGCACGTCCTCTCAGTTTGCAAACTTAACGAAACGAAGGTTGGTTAAGAGTTTCTGCCAATCCGTCGCGGTCTTTGTGGCTGCGGTGCCACGGGCATTAAAGCGCAACTGCGAGCCCTTTGTTCCGTGGCAAGAACGCCCAGTAAAGCTGCGTTCAGTCTCTGACGAAGGTGCCTGTAAACCATTTCCGCAGATCATCGTCACGGACACAGAGCAGGCCGCCACAAGGAGAAACACTACCACGATGGCCATGGTAGGTTTACGTCGTACAAGTCTTTGTAAGTCGGAATGCTTTCATATTCGGTGTAGGATCAGAATGAATTCTAACATGCTAGAATGCAAAAGCATTCCAGAAAGCATTGAGCAGTCACACTCCTCGCTGCCTTCATCTGTCGGCTCATTGGCGGTTGCAGGGAGGTCCAACGGTCACGCGAAAGGGGCCCATGGCGTGAGACAGTACGAGACTCCCTCGGTCCTCACGACCAGCGACATTGAAACCACGAGCTTCCTGGATTCGGAGGACGAGACTACGAGCCGGTCAGTGCTGCGCCCTTGTCCTTTCACCGTTTTTAAAGTGTCGTGTACTTCCATGGCGGAACGCAACCGGTGCTTATCTGCTCTGTTGTGACTTATGGTAACATCCCGAGAGGTGCCCCACCCCTGAAAGATGACCTGCCCCCTATTTTTGGCACGATTTGATATTTTTTAAAAACACAGATAATAGCCCACTTTTAGTAATTGCACTGCCCTGGCCAAGGGTGACTTCGGCAGAAATGGCGGTCGCACTTAGCCAGAACTGGACGTAAGCGAATATTGTTGACTGGGAAGGACAGTCGTCTTTGGTCTCTACATTCACAAGTTTTGTGAGTCATAAAATCTCAAACTAATTTTTTTTTTTTTGCTTTTTTTGATTGCACATTGAAAGTCAGCTTCTTCTTTTCACCTGATTCTCTTTCGCTCTCAGTGGGCTATCTCTCGGGTTATTAAGGTAGTTCCTTTGTAATACTCCTGCTCTAGGGAATGGGCTTTATTACTCGAATGCTGAAAAGATGGAGCTCTTCTTTGAACCATGTAACAATTTCAATTAGATTGGCGAGCCTTTTCTCGGTCCACCCGTTGAAACTTGTAACGAAGGGACAATAATTTCAAAGGTGCGTTTCTTTTTTTTTTTTCTTGGCAAGTTTTCGGCAGGTAAGGGCACGCCATTGTACGTGATGAGTGATTAAACAATTCCCGATTGTCAAATAACACTCTCGCATTCGTGAAGCAGCCGATTGTTGGCGCACTTGTGTTTTGTAAAACCGTGCGTGTGCATGAGGCTGGAGAAGTCTTCTCTGTCGTGCGTGCTAATGCACACTTTGTTGTCATGGGCACCAAACTGTCGAGTATGATTACCTTATGCTGTGCTTGAGCTCTTTTTTTCGAGCCAAACATGCTTACCCCCAAAGAGTTTAGAGAGGGATGAGCTATATTACGATAGATTTGCCCACTTTTTACGTAACTGAATATGCAACCCTGTCCGATCCCTTGGCTGCACTCACACATGGACATGTTTGTGTCGTAGCATCTCGACGACGACGGAAGAGAGCAGTGTGTCTCGAATCTACGCTCGCCACAGGCGCCGACGGCGGAAAAAGATGCCACCTATGAGCAGGGTGCGTGCCTTCACTTCTGTGCTTTTTTCTTTTGTTTATAGCTAGTTTTCTACTTGTACAGCTAGGATAAACAAGCATGGTTTTCCTTTTTTGCTTATTTTCTTTTGCGGTGGAAAATGTAAGGATCAAATGGACTATCCTAGTGTGGCAGGTTTATCAGGAGCAAAAAAACTTCAGCTGTGATAATAAATGTTCCTCCCTCATCTATATGAAAAAAATATCTATATATTTTATAAGCATTGATGTCATGGCTTTGCTAGCTTTCTCTTGCTTTTGCGTAGTAGCCATTGCTGTATAAGCTTGTTGTTTTGGAAAAGCATAGTTGAGTATTGGTGTGTAAAAGGTATGTTCACAAACACCGACCCTTGTATAGCAGAAAGAAAAAAATTAGCTTGGTTGTATTGAGTTTGTTTGTGGAGCGGAGACTATGAGGTCTATAGCTGTGCTCAGTAGTGCTTCTTGGTTTGTTTTTATTTTCTGCCAGTGCCAGAACACAGTTGCTTGGCCTACACATTGGCTTGCTGCATCTCTGTAGTAGCCATGAGACATGCTAGATCAGGAACGACCATTTAAATCAACGAATCTGGTACTGCACCCATATGTGCAACAGCTTTCTTGCTTCAAGTTTTGCTACTCTACTACCACATTTGTTCTATCTATGGAGACTGGATTGCATAAATCCATCAGCACTGTGCTTGAAAAGTTCTGTGGTGGGGTGGGCAGGTTAGGAGGACTCATTTTTGGTTCTGTAACTCAAGTTAGTGTCCCTGTAAGTCATTATACGAGGGGCGTTCATAAAGTTTGTATTATTGTCACGAAGGAATAGAAATTCAGCAATCAAACTCTAGCAGGAGTTGAGACTTTCTCTACATGTTCGCCACCAAAAGTTACACACCTTTTCCAGCGATGCACCACATGCTGGAGGCCATTGTTATAGAACTCCTCGTTTGGAGTGTCCAGGAATCGCTCCACTTCATCAATCACTTGGTCACCATCCTTGAAATGCTTTCCTCTTATTTGGCCACACTGGAAGCGCCTGCCCCATTTAAGGGGAGACACTGCTTTTCGAGGCAAAATTTTACTAAGCAAGCACATTTTTAAAAATGTGTCTTTTTGAAGTTTGGCAAGCACTTATCGTCTTGTCCTGAATGATTTTCGTTAAATAAGTCTCTCTTATCTTGAAGTACTGTCCTGGAAACAAAGTAAAATGGGTCTGTGTATTTTTAAAAATATTATTTCTGAGTGAACTCTTTACATCCTTTACTATTTTATGGAAGCCATATTTTCACTTGTACATATCTAATTTTCACATCTTTTTCTTTCTCTGCTAGCTGTATGCGTGACATATGCAATAAGGGGTACAAGTATATTAAATAGGCTGTCAGGCTTTTTGTAGATGCCTTTTAGGCATCCTGCAAAAAGTGATTTTTGAAACTGGAAAGTTCAAAAGTGTGCTAAAAAGTTTATAAATCATCCTAGAGCTTTCATTTATACCTTATTGGATTCCGCATACCTCTTAGTTCACTGCTATATGTTTATTTTCTTACTTCAGCATTTCAATTTGTCTTAACCCTGCCCATAATCTTTGCAAATTAAATTTTTAATCTTTGCAAATTAAATTTTTAATCTTATAAAAACTAATTAGGTTCAGGGCCGTACCCAGAAAAGAATTTCGGGGGGGGGTTTTCGGGGACAACGGCGGCCATTTTGAAAATGTCTATTGTCTTATTTTTGCCAATGAATCATGTGCATCGGTGGCATATAATGGAGAGTTACAGCAAACCGGAGAATTGGTCCCGGTTTGGTACCCGGTAGCCGACCGGTGCCACTGCGTGTGCGCAGAGGTGGAGATTAAAATCGGCTGGCTGTAAGTGCACCGACCAGGGCCGTACCCAGAAAAAAAATTTCGGGGGGGGGGTCAGAACCCCCTAACTCCCCCTCTGGTTACGGCCCTGGGTTACATCAAAACCAAGTACATAGCTGTAGTCAGATTGTAATGGCAAAGAAGCCATGTAAATTACATTTGAATTGAATCACAAGTTATACAAAAAAAGCTCTAGAAACAGTGTTCCCCCTTAATCAGTGTCATAAACTTGGGCTTTGTCCCCATACTATGCTTCCAGACTGGAATGAATAATCTTAACATTGCTTCCCTTCAAATGCAAAAAAAAAACCAAAAAAAACGGATCACTGCATGCACCAACGGGCGGTGCTATTTTTGTTTCGATTCCCTAGCGGTGTTCCGAGCTACTATAGCATGAAATGTTTATACTGTGCGGAAACTAGAGGGACGCGCGCTCATGTTGATGCCTGTTTTGTTCCGTTTTTTTCAATTTTTTGTGCCGATAATACAAACTTTATGAACGCCCCTCGTATATCTATTCTAATGAGCAAGTTGTCTTGCATGCGGGTGATTGAGCTGTGTCCTTTCCAGACATCGTCAATCAGCAGCATCACTGACAGCACCCTCTCTCTCAACATCATCACAGTCACCTTAAACTTGGGTAGGTACCAGTTGGTCACAATGACTTTCAAAATGGGGCTTTGGAACATAAGCAAGAGCTTGGATAGGTTTGTGGAGTAAATTTTAGACATTTTACATGTATGTCCCGATGGACTAAAACTGCTGGTGGCTGATTTGTGTATAGCTCGTGTCACTTTATGTTCTAGTTGTTGTAAAATACACATCTTGCTTTTTCCCAAGATATGAATAACATAAAAAAAGAACAGAACAATATATCTTCTAAAGAGAAATGTGGAGTACACACTTCTCTGTCAATTATAGCATACGCAGTGCAAGAATAATGGGAAATTCTTGGCCATTGTTGGTTTGATCTCTATTTGTACTGCAAAGTGGTGAAACACTATTAAATTGTAGTTTAGCCACAAAACACTATCACTTAGCAGAAATATGAGGAGTCATGGATTCATGAATGCCCTTATCTTTACAGTGGCTGTGTCTGATAGTGTGACTGCAGGCATGCCTTTTGGTTTGGAGCTCAACTTTTATTCCCAGCTGTTCAAATTAAACCCAGTACTGCGGGAGAATTCAGTTCCTCTAGGCATAACTATGCATTGACCTAAAGCACGCAAGGCCCACTACCTAGACATCTTATGTGCGTCTTCTTGTTTGCGTGTCCAGACACGGTGAACTTCCTTGGCATCAGCATTGTGGGCCAGTCAAACAAAGGAGGAGACGGGGGCATCTACGTTGGTTCCATCATGAAGGGGTGAGCCGATCTGTCTTATCAGTTCCCTAGCCTCTTCTTTTTAGTGTTTGTGCTAGAATGGGACAACCTTCTATTTCTGAAGCCTCTCTTTTGGAGTGACTCAAATGCAGCGATGTTACATACATAACCAAAAACGTTTTCACATACCGGCGATTCAGTGGCAGAAATGGTGCGGGCAATGTCTATAGGCTCATGTTTATGATGTTTGTACCCCGTGAGGTAGCTTCGTTCTTCGGTGTTGAAACGGGACGAAGCTTTCTTGTTTGATTCCGTCGTACGAATCCATAATTGACATCCTCTAACTCTTTGCTAGCCCACTAGAAATGAAGTGTTGGTGATTGAGATGCCATAGCCCCCGGGACCACAGAGATATCTCGGCACGAAAAACGGAGATTTATTTAGGTTACCCGGGGGCAGTTTTGACGTGCAACAGAAATCTGAGTTGTACGGCACCTGCGCCGCCGTCGGCCCTCGTTGGACTGTGGGTACTTTGGACGAGTTGGGAACATGCCAACCTGCGGTCCGTAGGCACGAGAGATTAAAGTGCGAGGACTAGACCAGGGTTTTAAACCTGAATTACTGTCTAATTAATGCAAAAATAAGTGTAATGGCTTTGTTAGCCCATGACGGCAGGGAGGAGCTTCAGTCGTCCCGCTTCAGTCATCCCGCCTCGTCCTTCGGTAACGCTTTGGTATCTCCTGAGCCTTGGAACGTACATGTGCTGGCAAAACACAACAAAAGGTGGTAACTGTGCTGAAGGTTGAGAGGTTGGCCATTCTCTTCTTTTCTGTGACTATGACAGGCTTCAATAAGATGGTTCGTGCTTTTGAGAAAGGAGCACTGTTTAAACTGGTAAACTTATTTTTCCCAAGTTTGCATCTTGAATCTTTTTTCTTTTCTTAGATGGATTTAGTTGCATGCATGACGTGTTTGCTTTTTTTTCTGTAGCGAAATTTGTTGAAGTAAGGTATTTGTTTTACAACATTTTCTTATGTTTGTCAAAAAAGGATGACATTGTGAGGGAGAAATGAAGCTGTAGCGCAGGAAGAAAGGCTGGCTCCTGCATTACCAACAACATTTATTTGAAGAGCCGGGTCCTGGCTTAGTCGCACTCCAACGAACGTCGAAATCTGCTGGTGATCGCTCATGCCTTAGGCAAGTGGTGCGCAGTCGCCGAGCAGCGCTGGTAGCCGTTTGGTGCCGTCTGTCGGGTTCCTTAAAGGTGTATTCGCACGAGAGGTACTCATCTCCGAAGGAAGCTGGGTACGTCTCATAGCTGCGAGGAGGACGGGTTGGTGCGGAAATTTAGAGTAAGCATTCGCACGACGGAGTCTCACGTAGCTGAGCTGGCGGAGTCTTTGTTTTCGTCGACGCTGCTGGCGACCTTCGGGGGCTCATGGAACGAGAGCTAGGTACGAAAGAAAGGCACTCCACACTTCCATGCTGTGGATCGTAATCCTTCCCCCGGCCGCTCTCATGGGGTGACGGGAATTCTGTGGGCCGATAGAATATTTTCTGCGGCCTCCCGCGAGCTCGGGGGATTGACGAACGTCCGTGGTGCGGGACATGTAACCTCAAAACGCGACAACGTTTATTAATGCTCTCCTTGGGGAGAAACTCTGTCGTGCGAATACACCCCAACTGTTACAAGTTTAGTTTAGTGCACTCTCATGCTTGGTTCGCGAACAAAAATTTATCTCTACCCATAGGTATCTAGTGTTTAATCCGTGCAATAGGCTTTATTAATGCTACTTAGTTTTGCTCAAAATTGAAATTTGTTGTGCCATTTAACTTTGCAGTATGAATAGGCTGGGCAACTGACATTGGTAAATTTCTTCGAAGGTTGACCCTTTCAGGAATGGCCTCCCCTTAATACTTCCAAGTGCCGTTTTGTTCCAAAATCGATGCATCCTTGCACATAAATGGGTGGACAATCTGAGACACTGCCAAGGGGCTGCAACCTTGACGTAACGCCACAACTCGGCTCGCCGTGACTGCACGCGCATCTTGACCAACGCTTGCTTTCCCCCTTTGCCACTAGGGGTGCGGTGGCCCTGGACGGCCGCATCGAGCCCGGAGACATGATTCTGCAGGTGAACGACATCAACTTTGAGAACATGAGCAACGACGACGCAGTTCGTGTTCTCAGGGAGACCGTCCAGAAGCCTGGGTCAGTCTCTTTTGCTACTCTCTCTTTTAAGGTGATAGCTTTGCATGGAAAACCTCCGTGAGCCTTTGCTCACATTGGTCATGCCCCAGCAGGGCTGTGGGAGAGAGCGTCAGTGAAATAGTTCTACTAAAAGAGTGTGTCAGCAAAAAGTGCCCACTTTGTTGACACTCTCCCAGGGCCTGATGTCGTAGCACATGCGACCCATGGCGGACTGCACTGCCAGTGGGGGGGGAGCGGGATTGCATTGTGCTAACTTTCGCTTCTTTATTGAAGCTACGAAGTAAAGAGCTGTGTGTTATTTAGTAAGATTGGAGACATTTCATGGTCAAATTGTATGTGGGGTGGCATTTGAGAAAAAAAATTATGGGCAATGTTTTCAAAGAAGAGGTGCATGCACGTAGAAGACGTTTGTTATACATTCACAATTTCTTTGCTATGTGTCAGATCGCGTACCATCCCGATAGCAAGTGCCCTTCGTTAAAAGCACCATCGACTGCAGTGATGTGATTGCTGCGCCAATTGCGCCAAACTGTGCCAAGGGACCCTGCTACATCCTGCTACATTTTGACAAAATATTGGTAATCTGTGCCAAGCCTGCGCCAAAATACCAGTTTTGGTCGCCCTTCAAAATTGAAACTAAACTGAGTACCGTAATTGAGCATGCCTGTGTTATGTTGTGCAAGTGGCTGCCCGACACAAAGTACCCTGCATCAATTGTCCATCTGGTCTTGCATGGTTTTCTCACCGTCTCAAGTTTCGCGCTCTCGTCGTCTCGTGGGTATCGTTTTTTGTTTTTTATAATATAATTTTAAAGATAGACGCGGGTGTGTGCGGAAGCTACTATGCTAGCATGCCGGGTACCAGCCATGCCGTCATGCTGTGAAAGGAAACCATGTTTTAGCGTGGCGGGAGTTACTTTGTGAGCAGCAATCACATCACTGCGAGTGCTATTGCACGTCAGTTTTGCGTCTTGGCACGTCAGTAGTTTAGCCCCACGTTGCCACAAGGAAAGCTTAGTCTTGAATTTTGAGCTAGAAATGCGCTTCCTGTGTAAGGCTCGTCAAAACACGAGGCTCTCTTTATTTGTGTTCTGATCATTGAAAAGCACGGCAAAAGAGCCTACGCGTGCACCACATCTTGCCCCACTGTAATCTTGTGCACAATAAGGTATGTCCACTACGGTCAGCGTCGCCTTGGCAACTCAAAAACAAAGAAAAAGGAGGTTGAAACGACGGGCGTTTTGGGAAGCGTCTTTTTCCGAAATGTCTCAGAATCATAACCTCTGACGCCGTTCGCACCTTTCCTCCCCTTCGTTCCCGCGGGAGCCATTGGCCCCGCCGGCGTCGTGCCTCGCTCACGGAGCGCCCTCCTCTCCCGTCTGCAGCCCCATCAAGCTGGTGGTGGCCAAGTGCTGGGACCCGAACCCGAAGGGGTACTTCACTATCCCGCGGACGGAGCCCGTGCGCCCCATCGACCCCGGGGCGTGGGTGGCCCATACGGAGGCGGCCCGGGGGGCAGGGGGGCCCCCGGGACCCCCCTCCGCACTGGCCCACTCGCGCCTCAGCCTGGGGCAGCCCCCGTCGCTCGTGCTCCGGGGCAACTCCCTGATGCCCTTCCAGGGCGCCCCGGTGCTGCCCGGGGAGCTGAGGCCCCCCTCGGTGTCCACCCTCACTTCCACCTCGTCGTCGGTCACCTCGTCCGTGCCGGAGTCCGAGAGTGCGTGCCTCCTCCTCCTCCTTTTCTCTCTGTACAGCGGTGCTTTTTCTCTGTCAGGGAGGAGTCGTAACGCTTAGGGAGTACTCGCACGACGGATCTCTGTCTACCCATTCCAAAAATTGTGTTTTGTGAAAATAATGTTTTAGTGTCAACTTCGATGCACATTCAGCCCCCATAGACGTGATAAATTGATTCATAGCTCAAATTTACATACACAAAATTAGAAACCTGGTAGATTTGGAAGAAGTACACCTGTAGGGGTCAATATTGCCATTTTCAAAGAATTAAGAATTTATAATATTTTTTGGCACGTGTTGTGAACAACGCGGCATGTACGTCAAATTTTAGCACACACTACGTTGGGGAGAGTTTTAGAAAGGCATCTCTCTACCGCTACCCAAACATGTCAGTGTCTCTACAAGCATTTTGTGCTTGCAGCTCTACCAAAATGCAATTACAACTTTTATTGTGATCATAAACTGCTGTACCTAGAGAGGAAAAAAAAAACAAAGCTAGTTTTTTGAGTGACGTTCTTAAATTGGTTTAAATATGCAAGTATGACACGAGTGGTTGTGTCCGCTCGCGTCGTCTGAGCACGAGCAGTCCCGTGCTGCTCATGCCGAGAGGCGTTTGCCCGTCGCAAGTGGCAAGTTGCCGGCAGTTGTTGCCCACCTTGATGGGTGTTCAGAACAGTTTGGGATATGCACCTCTCAGAAGTGCAATCTTATCCTGTAGTGGAAATTGCAGTTGCGAGCGCACTACTCTCTTGGGAACCGCTGTTGCAAACATGGCACCGGCTTCAAACACAAATTTTCTTGGCTTCAGAGTTTAGTGCCCTCCCAACCTCTTGCACCTTGCAGGTTAACTTCAAGGCAGGTTTGGGTGCCCATGCTATTTCTGAAAAATAGTCTACATATATACTACCTAAAACTCAAATGTGGTGCGGGTTCGGCACATGCACATTTACGACGATGCTAGTTCCTTGGGTGTTTATAGTACCTAAGTAGTATACTGTCGAGACCGGTTATGGCGAAGTCAACGGGAATCGGAAATCACTTCGCTATATCCGCTATTTCGTTATAACCGACTTCGTTATGACCGGTCTCAACAGTATTCCGTCCCCAAAGCTCCCTGTTCACATATATAATGTTGCCAGTGCTAGTTTATCTCCAATTGCTATTTAACTTTTACATACCATAATGTGCTAAAATGTGATACCTTGACAAATTTGTAGAAGAATGTGCCCACAACTGTACCGCCATTTACTGTATGCCTAAGGCTGCCTGCCTGCCGTGACGAGCATTCTTATGCAGTACATAGGGCCGACTCTGGCCGTCCCTGACTGTCTTTATGTCGCGTGGGTCCCTGCAGGGCAGTTCCAGGACAATATGCTGACCATAGAGACGGACATGGAGACCATTGTCAAGGCCATGGCCGCTCCTGATTCCGGCCTGGACGTGCGGGACCGCATGTGGCTCAAGATCACCATCCCCAAGGCCTTCATTGGTACGGTGCACGCCTGTTGCTCGGAGGAAGTCACGTCTTGGCGCAAATCTTGCTTTGTCTCGAAGCGTTTTTCTTTTATACTCCTCCGATACACTTGTTGAGAATTCGCTACCATCTATACTCCATCAGTGTTGGGTAAAGTACATCTAAAAGGTACTTCAAGTAGAGTACAAAGTAAATGAAACTTGATGTACTTTAAGTAGAGTATTAAGTATGCTGGATGCAACATACTTGAGGTAAAGTACTATAAATACAGTGTACTTTCAAAGTAAAGTAGAAGTATTTTAACACAATCTTTCATGATGCCCTTTCATTCCCCTGTACAGTGATTTTTTAACCGGTATGCATTGCCCAGGGGTGCATGACCTAGTTTCAAAAACAGCAGGGAATATTTGATGAAGTCAAGTGGCCACTGAGTAGTTATTTTCAGGAATGGAGCCAAATTCAGAAGTCCCTCTCCTGAATTTGACGGCCCTTGCACTGGATTGTTGCGCTCAAGGGGGTTAAATGTACGAGGGGAGAGCATGGCGTCGGCCCCGTAGCTTCCGCAAGCAGTCCTCTCATAGAGGAGTGTCCTCTCCTTAATGAAAAAAACAAAATAAAAACAGTGAGTGTGCAAGCAAGCTGGTGATAATTAATCATAATGTGGCACCTGAAATTGGGATGCAAAAAAATGAAGGAACTTTCAGATAGAAAAAAGAAGAAAAGAATGTCGAAAAACATTGCGACGTTCCCCTCTGTTGTCTTTTACTTCGACTTGAAAAATTAATTTTCTGCACCACAGTCTCAGGTGCTACATTATGATTAATTTTGCTCTCCTAATATTTTAAACCTCCTCGCTCGCGCTGACCGACCGAAAAGTAGCGAGAGTTCAAAAAGCTACGGGAAAGCTGCCCCCGGAACAAACGGAGTGATGCATCATCTGCTCACGTTTCTAATGAGAGTAGAATATCCCTCCCAGTTTTTCTTCGGAGTTGACAAAGCATCATTTCCTGATATACAAGCTTAACATACCAAATCTGGGGAATGTACTTTCAGGTCGGGAATCGAACTTACCTCGGAAAGTACAAGAAAAAAATACTTTAAGTAAAGTACAAGTACATACTCAGTGAATGTACTTCAAGTAAAGTACAAGTTTCCTAAATTTACTTGAAGTAGTACCCTAAGTACAATGTACTTAAAGTACTTCCCAACCCTGTACTCCATTCACCTTTAAGCTGAGATTGTGGTAGAAGCTACGAGCACGTTGAACCAGTCATTTGTCGGTTCTTCGCCACGTGATCACACTCTCGCCCAAATCGTTGCAGTCAGATGGTGAAAGGGAAGCATTTGATTAGTCCGGCGAAAGCGTAGCTCCCACCACAGTCTTAGATTAGGGATGAACGGAGTAGGGGGTGGCATTCTCAATCTTTTTTATCTCAAGGAATGCCTATTTCTAGTCATGTGCAAATAATGGATTTTGAGTTCGAAGTGAATCACGGTTTTGGCCAAATATTTTCGAATCAAATAGATTCTCCATGCTTTTCACTGCCGTGCCCCATGCACGAAAATTCAGCTGAACTTGGGAAGGTTGCTACGCTCGGTTAATGAGTTCTAATATAGCTATAGCATTTTTGGACTGTGGCATGTAAACGACAAAATGGTCGCAGCTTTCCTAATCAAAGAGATTTATAAGTCTGATTTTCAAATTTGACCAAAAATTAGAATTGTGCAAATATCAAAATCTTTCCAAGCGAATTGAATCGAATTGAATATTTTCGAATATGAATGGTAGTTCCAAGTAAGAACATTTTTTTAAAACATATTTTCTATTTGATGTGAATTAAGGGGAGACACTGATCTTTAAGACAAAAATATACAAAGAAAACTTTTTTTTTTTTAAATTGTGGTTTTTGAAGAATGGCAGGCACTTATCGTCTTGTCCTGAGCGATTTTCATTAAATAAGTCTCTTATCTTGAAATATTGTCTTGGAAACGAAGTCAAATAAATCGGTGGATGTTTTTTTTATATTATTTCTGGGTGAACTATTTACTCCCTTTACTATTTTACAGAAGCCATATCTCCACTTGCACATACGTAGCCTTCATATTTTTTTTTTCTTTCTCTGGCAGGTGAATTTGTGACATATGCAATAAGGGATACAAACCAGCACGTAGCCAGGGGGGGGCCCATGGGGCCCGGCCCCCCCCCCTCCCCAAAATCTTCCATTTTGCTGGGACCTCCTCTCCCCCCTCCCCCTCATACAGCATTTTGTCATGGGTGGGCCCCCCTTGAAACAAAATCCTGGCTACGTGCCTGGGTACAAATATAATAAATAGGGCATCGGGCTTTTCTTGGGTGCCTTTTGGGTGCCCTGCAATAAATCAGTTTGAAACTGGAGAGTTCAAGAGTGTACTAAAACGTTTATAAAGCATCCTAGGGCTTTCATTTACGCCTTGTATTCCACATACCTTTTAGTTCACAGATATATGTTTATTTTCTTTCACGTTTAGCGTAACAGAAAGGGCACAAGCCAGCGATTATAAAAATATAGTTAGTTTGGGTAACTAAAAAAATCGCGGAACAGGGCAACTCCGCTTCATTTTTGTTTTTGGAAAAACTATGCAATCCTTTCAGTATAACCTAGGAAGACCACATGTTAAATATTATGACATAGTTCTGTCTAACCGCTCATTCACACTGGAAGCGGATCCGCGTTCACAAAGCGGTTGCGAACGCAGTTGTATAAAGATCCAGTACAATTGCACGCGTGCTCGATGACATCAAGTGCGCGTGCAATTGTACTGAATCTTATACAACTGCGTTCGCAACCGCTTTGCGAACGCGGATCCACTTCCAGTGTGAATGAGCGGTAAATGTTTCTTAAATGGTCTGGCAGAATTTGCAACTTGCCAAGTTGCTAAAATCGGCTAACTCGAGCGGGCGAATTGAGGCGTAACCAACAGCGCAGTCAAACCTACGGCGTGGGCGTAGCCAACATTGAGCTAAATGTCATCACCGTTGCCCCCTTTTGCTTGTTTTTTCTTCTCTGGGCAAGCGTAATGGGTGACCTCAGCAACGTTTCCTCTCGGCGCTCCGCGGTGTTGACGTAATTGGCGGACGGCACTTCTTGAGAGCCGTCCGGCCGCCCTGCCGTGGTCCCGCCGTTACCGCTGTCTCCCGCGTCGCAACCGCCGTCGTCGTCTCACCGTTTGTGATAATTGTCTCTCAGAGCTTCGTCCAGTCTATGGACACTACGTGCGCAGACTTATGCTGCAGTTGTGCAGACGTTGTTGAATGTCGTAGACACCAATACATGATAAAGGGTGCGGTGCAGACGACACTTGTGCCTGTCACACGCCCGCCCCAATCTTGCCCGTCGTTGCGTAGAGGATCACGTGACATCTTGTACCACATGACAGCCATGTTCTTGGCGGCCCGAGTCCAATGTTGCCGGATGGAGCCGAAGTTTCGGTTTTGTTTTCTGCTCGTGTCTCAAATTAGATTTAGAAATATATGTCTTGTTTTTCGCAAAACGAATGACGTCGTGTCTTTTACTAGTGCTTTCTGATGTCGAATCACACATTATCCCAAAACCTTTAAAATTGAGCGGAATTGCCCTTTAAAGGACACATGCAAAGGAAAAAGACATTTTTTAAACAGCCTGGTTGGGAAAAGGAAGTCATAAAACGAATTTACTTGGAAAAATAAAAATTTTTAGAGCTATATTTACGGTGCTATATGAATTTCTAGTTGCTGCCCACGGGTGCCGCAAAAAGGTGGCCGCTATTTGTCATGTGGTACTGCGCTCTTTCGGAAGCTTCCTATGGTCTCTAAAAGCTACTTATTCATCTTTATTTCAAGTGCAACAAAAACGAAGATTAAGAAGTATTTTTTAGAGCCCAGAGGAAGCTCCTGAAAAAGCGCAAGCAGACATGATAGACCTGTGCGCCGTTCAGATGATGGCGGCGGCACTGCGGAGCAGACAAACTTGCATGGCGGCGGCAGCGGCGGTGTGGAGAAATGCGTTGAAACGGCGGCGCACCATGCTCAGCGTCCGGCGGCGGCGTGACTTTAAGGCGGCAGCGGCGCCGCGCAACAGCGCACAAGTGTATTACGTGATCCGCAGCGGTTCCCACAGGCGACAACTACAAATTAGTTTTGCGCCGTAAATGTAGCTCTAAAAATTTGTTTTCTTCGTTGTAAATTCGTTTTATAACAATCTTTTTCCATCTAGGCTGTTTTAAAAAAATGTTTTTTTCTTTTGCGTGTGCCCTTTAACACATACTCGCATAATTGCGGCTGATAGCCCCATTGAGTGCGCTTCTTACAAAGAGCTTTTGCACTGCGGTGAAACAATACCTGAGGAGCCTGCGAGCTTTGCGGGTATTACTTCCCCGCAGTGCACAAGTGCACACTGAGAAGTGCACTCAACGGGGCTATCTGCCACACAACACTGCAAAAAGTGTGAATACCTCAGTTCACCTCAAAGTGAATATCAAATAGCATATTACTCGAAACTACTGTTAAAATATTCGCACAACACTACATATCTCACTTTGTGGACAGCTAAGGAACACCTCTCGGTCTGGGCATTGATGTACTAAAGCTGGCTGAAAGCTTACTAACATTGTAAACTGTAATGCAGATAATATGGAGCGTTTGGCCCTTATTATCTAGGTGGTCGATATCTACTGAAACACTGGTTAAATGGGAAGCATGTACTTTAACCAAGGGCAGGGATGATGGTCAAGGAAATTCGAAGCTTGGGGGAACCTATGAGGTAACTCTGGGAAACCTCCGTGTTCCTAGAAACCTAGTTTGAGAACCGATGATCTAGGTCAGTAAAGACAAAAGGCAAAACCTTCTATGTTGTCGCTCTAGTTCTCCAAGTAGAAACGTCAGGACGGGAGAACCTTGGTTGCTTTTAAAATTGAGCCGCGATCAGTAGGATGAGTGCTTTTTAACTTTTAGCCTAATGTAGGGCCTCATATATCGGAGCCAGAGTGTTTTATGCGGTCGCGAGTTGACAGCTTCTTTGGATTGCTTTTTAGTCTTTGTCGGCCTCTTTTCCCATTTCATTTATGCTCATTCTTGTGTCGAGAAAGCGTTTGGGACGAAGACACGGCATCTCGCTGTCTCCCTCCACCTTCGGTTCAGGTGTGGACGTGGTGGACTGGCTGGCGAGCCACGTGCAGGGCTTCCAGGATCGCAAGGAGGCCAAAAAGTTTGCCAACCTGCTGCTCAAGGCGGGCCTCATCCGCCACACGGTCAACAAGCTCTCCTTCTCGGAGCAGTGCTACTACGTCTTCGGGGACCTCTGCTCAGGTACGTGGGATTGTGGACTTTTACAGGAAGTTGGTCTTCAGCCCCAACAGGCGTCCATTGTCTCCGCCTTAGGCGAGAGCCAGTGCTAACCAGCCGTCTTTAGCGCCCATCACGCAATAGCAATGTACGACTGCATGCCGGATTGAAACGGGCAGGGATCGAGCACAAGATCCCCGGGTTCCGCGACACGAGCTTTCGCACCACGTGCTCCGAGCCGCGGCGGTCGGGTCGGTGGCGTTCTCTTAAAGCGATGGCTTTATGCGGGTGCCCCGTACAGACCTTGCTCACTCGTGTCGGTCGAGACGTAGCGAGGCCACGGAAAAGAGTGTCGGCGATGGAGCGCCGCCATCAACTTGATGCGCAGCCGTTTGTTTTGCTCCTCTCGGTTTTCTTACGTGGAGAACCGGTCGAGTCTTCTCGTACCAAAGCTGCCTCCCTGATTCCCGTTGGCGCTTCTCTCCCCCTCCCCCCCCCCCCCCTTCCCCGCAGAACTGTGTGCCTTGCGTCTGGGGGCCGAGAGCGAGGCGGACAGGGACACCCTGGGGCCCCTACCGGCCCCCGGGGGGACGTCCTCGTGCGGCCTGGGCCCGCCCTGGGGGCCCTTCTCGGCGGGGGCGTCTGGCTACCTGGGGCCGGGTGCCTTCCTGCCCCTGGGCTATCCGCCCCCGTCCTCCTCCGTGGCCAACCACAGCGAGGCCGCCCTCGCCTCCTACGTCAACTACGCCCGCGAAGGCAGCGCCCACAGCGGCTCTGGTGGGCGGCCCCTTCTTTGCTTGGTTTTCGGGAGGACCGACCTTAACGAAACGGCTCGCAAAAAATGTGGACGTGCAAACAGAGTGCGCGGGTCGGACAAATGCCGACAGTTTCTTTTTTTCTTTTTGACCTTCGCATTTTTGTGCACCGCTCCGCTATCGTAAGTCACGTGGCGACTTGCCGAAATCACCATTTTAAGTGGTGGGGGGGGATACAGCGTAGAATTGCCTTTTTTCCGCAAAAAAGTACTGTTTCAAAACTTTTTTTTTTTCTTTTCGGCATGTACAATTAATAGTGAACATTCTCACAAAGTTTTATCGACATGAGTTGAAAACAAAGCCAGAAATAATTATTGACATGCGAGGCGCACTGCGCTTGCATGATCCCGTAGAGACTGTAATAAGCAGCAGTTTTGAAACCCGACAGTTCCGCGGCTATTAGGCTTAGCGTGGTGCGCGTACCCCCGTTCAAAGTGTTATTTCGCAAACTTTTTAAATAGCTTTTTTTATGTATTTGATTGCATCTTCGTAATCATCCCCTTAATTTGGGGAGGATTACGAAGTGTAAATTAGTGTACATCCCCTTAATTTGGAAAAGCGCAGGAAACGTATCTGTTTCGTTGGGTACGTATTGTAATGATATCTTGTTGCAGAGTTTAAGGAAGGGTGCATGGTGGTGCATTTCTTCCTGCTTGCTCGAAAACTGATCCCTGCAGATGATGTGGTGGGACTATATTAGGAGCGGTTTTGCAGAAGGTGTCTTGTTCCAGAGAAAGAACAAATGGAATGAACTTTTTTTTATTGCGTGAAATCGAGCATTTCCCTGACCTGTCAGGAGTGGCCATAGGGTAGAGGAATGAAATTGACCTTCCCTTAAACCCCCCTCATTCATCCTTCTTGTTGCCAATGCGTTTGCACGGCAACCAGAACTTTGAGCTCGTTTTCTTTTGGGTAGCACCCAGAATGTAAGTAGAAAACGCAAGCCTGCAAAATTTTTGTATGAAATCGGCCTATGCCAAGTCTACATAGTTTCACTCTGGAACAATAGTCATTTACCATACCAATCCCCCGAAAGAATGAAATGTGTGACAAGATATTAGCAGCATTTCAATTTCGTCGTTTTCACACGGCCAACGCGTGGCACCTCGTTTTAGGAGGCAGTGGCGGTTGCGGCACCACCACCAAGGACCACGGGGGCGGCAACAACAGCGACTCTGAAGGGGCCAGCCAGCGCAGCGGCCTTTGCGGGGCCGCGGCGGGGGGCGACAACAGCAGCAACAGCGACCACAGCACCCGCACGAGCCGGTCGCGCGAGCCCCAGGCGCCCCAGGCGGTCTCGCAGCCACCGCCCGGCGGGGGACTCGAGTCGATGCCGCACGACCTGACCGGTAGTAGGCAGTCCTTTCGCATGGCCATGGGCAACCCCTGCGAGTTCTTTGTCGACGTCATGTGATCCCTCCTGGCAGGAGGAGTTGCAGAACCTGGGAAAGCAGCACCACCGCCTTTAGCGTGCGGTGGGCCGACAGCAAAGTGGCACGACCCGGTTGGCTGGCGAACATCTCCCGATCGGTTGTGCCGCCTAAGTTGCCGGGCATCCGTCGTTTGGGACCCTTGAATTGTCCTCGCAGCCATTGAATAGGCTATTCGCGAGTCCATATACAGCAGTTCTGGAATCTTCAACTGCAACAAAATGTTCAGTTGGGTTAGTTGGTTCATGACTGGATAGAAGCGCCGAACGACAGGGACAAAGTGAAAAAGGGAACGACAGAACGGAGCGCATTTGCAACTGAAAGTTTATTAGAAAACACACTGACTTAAATACTTTAATAAAACCATGTCACTTCCAGTCACGCCACTGTCTCTAAAAATAACATTTCCTTATCTAACAGGGCCACAGACTGCTCACCGATACACTTATACGAGCTCCTGGTTTTGATGACAAACGCTTCGTGAATTTCCCTAGTTGTTTTTCCTCTGTGTCGATTCAGGATAGTTGTGTTCGAAAACAAGAGGGTGCACGGGCATCGATCACAATGCGTTGCCGGACGCCGTCTGGACGTCTGACAGTGCATTGCGATGCATTGCAACCACAACCATTCTGCGACTACGGAGCGAAAATAGAACTAGGGAAATTTACGAAGCGTTTATCATCGAAGCTGATAAGTGTATCAGTGAGCCGCCTGTGGCCCTGTTACATAAGGAAATGTTATTTTTAGAAAGAGAGTGGGGTTGCTGGAAGAGAGGTGGTTTTATTCAAGTCACCAAGTCGGTGTGTTTCTTAATAAACTCCCAGTTGAGAGTGCTCTCCGTGTTGCCGTTACCTCCCTCCCTCGTCGTTCGGTGCATCATCGTAACTTCGAAAGGGCCAATCTGGATGCAAGCCTTTGCTTCTAGGTATGGGTAGATTGACGGCGGTGGTGCTGCTTTCCCTACGCCTAACTCCGTGCCGCATGGACCAATGCCTCGAGCGGACGAGGCGCGTGATGTTTCGCTTGTCGTAGGTGTGCGGCTATCGTTGCTTTCGTGCGGAATCGAATTCAGTTAACAATTGGGTGCTTGCCATTCAGCCGGAAAAATTATTACGGCCTCGACGTGCGCAAGTTTGCTGAGACACGCGCTCGTGTGTGCCCGGACACATCCTTGTTATGGTGGTGAGGCTGTCCGTATTATGGCGTGTGCCTCGAACCACGTCGCCTGCGCGGGTGCGACGGCACCTGTGTGCACACTCTGTGGCCTGTTTTTGACTTTGCTTCTTTTTTGCCACAAGCCCAGTTTGTAGAAAAGCTATGCAGTGGTGCTATCATTCAAGCTTCGAAGTCAGGTTAATTTATTTGTGACTCTGGGTGTGGTAGGCTGGAAGCTTTTGGAGGGTTATGAAGTGACGACGAAGTACTAGGTGTAAGTGATACCGGTCGTGGCCTTTTTAGGTATAACCCGAACTGGTCCATTAAACAGAAGTTGCTAGGATATATTTATTGCCCAATCCTTTGTTTGTTCCTTGCTTTAGAAATTAATGCCACAGCATCGAATGATGAGGTCACATTATTAGGTGGTGTGTTCGTGAAAACAAACATCGCATCAGCGAGGCAAAAATATTGGTTTCTAGGGTGGCCCATATAGCATGCATTATGCAAAGCAGAGTGTAGTTAGCTCGAAGCAGTTGGTCCTCTTCTTTTTTTTTCTAACTGGACAGGTTATAATTTTTTATGTATGACTTGACTTGCTTCAAAATCAGTCTGCACTAAACTGCATAATGTAATGGGTAGTGGTACTTTTAATTAATTTTTAAATATTTTTGTTGGAACGGGTCGGGCATACTAGATTTCTTTACCAACTCTCGAGTGCATCTCTGGGCACTGCATGCAGCGTACAATTCCCTTTCTCAACCTACCTTTGAGCCTTTTGTTTGGCTCGTAGATGCGTTTGTCCCGTAAACAGAAGGACTACCTTCAAATCCTCTGCTAGGAGCTCCAATGCACACCAGAAAGAATGTACCTGGTTCGGTCAAGTTTGCTGAGCATCGTGGCTGGCATGCTTACAAACTTTTTTTTGTTGCCAAATATTGTTGTGCACAGTTGAGCACATATGCAGTGCAGTCTTCCTACACTACCAATTTCTGTTGCCACTGGTCCTATTTAGTGCCTGGTTCAATTGAGCAGTCTGTAGGAGTGTGAACCTGTGAGCTGCCTGTTCTTGCCTTTTCTCTTTGTTGTCTAAGCACGATTGCTTCGTAGATCTTTCCTCCTGGTACAGGTTAGTTCTAGGAGGAAAGTTTCTGCGTTGCAGGTATTCCTTGCCGGAAAATGTGAATACGTCTGAACCTGCCTGGCCTCCTCCTTATGGTGCTTCCTTGAAACCTTGCATGTGTTCTCTGGTGTTCCTGCGCCTGCATGCTGTGTGTGTCCCCACGCGGCCTGTTTGTACTCACAGGCAAACCAGGTTCCCGATGTGTGCCTCGATACAGAAAACCGTGAGAATTCCCTCTTTTTTGGTCTCATCATCGCCTCATCACTCTCAACAAAGGTTTAACAGCTGTTGCGACTGCTGGGCAATGTTGACATTGTAGCCGACGGTCTGGGCACGTGGCAGACAACGTTGTCCACTTTTCTGTTTTGGCAGAGACTATTTATGTTAGTCGCGGCAGAAGATACGGTGTTCAGTGGCTATTGGTAGTGAAGGAAAAGGAGCTTTGCAATGCTGAATAGGGGCCCAGGGAATAACAGGTGCGCTACTCAAGGGTACTGGAAAGCATAAATATTTGCCACTTAGGTTAGTAACCTACTGAGCACTTTCAACCACTGTAGTAGTTCTTCCTTTTGTGTATAAATTCATTTGCGAGTCAGCACTTGTGTGTTGTGCATGTTCCAACGCTTCTTCAGTATGTAGAGAAAAACGGCGATGCCTCGTTCACCCCAACGGTGTCGCGATCTGTACATATATATAGTAAAGAATGGTAGAAAATAGTTTTGCATGGAATTTTGATTTGGTTTCCAAACTTGCATAGGCATGGTGGATGGCACGTGCGCTTGGTTAGTGGCTGCCATACTGTTTCTTTGTCTCACGTCTTGTCTTGATGGTGATGTGGAGCTTTGTGAACTACTGTCTTCCCGTCCCTCACCGTTCCCTTTAAGTTATCAGAGGCATAAAACGGAAGAAAGTCGGCACCCTGTAAGCACTGTTGAAAGGCCCCGAGCGATTGGCAAGCGGTCTATAAAAGCGTGGGGTGCAGGCTACTAATAGAGTATTCTAACACCCCTTACTTCGCTCACTTTGTTAGCCAGAAGACAAACAGTGTTAACCAGAAGACAAACAGCTGCGTGCGGAGATTAGGGCATGCGGGGTGTAACATCTCGAATCCAGCGTCTCCCAGCGGGCCGTCGTAGTCGTCGCCCTTTCACGTGCTAAAAGTTGGAGAAAACTCCGCGTTAAAGTATGGCACACCATACAAAAGTTGGAGAAAACTCCACTATAAAGTATGAACACCGTACGGAGTCATAGACCGGTCGACCATGTGCACGCCCCCCCGTACGGCACCCTTTTGTCCCCTTCCCTCTGCACCTCTTGGAACATAAGCGACCCCCCTTCTTTTAACCGGTCTCTCCCCGTCCGTTGTGGTGGCTAACTGTGTGTCTCTCTCCTTTCTTCCCCCCCTGTTCCCACATTCTTGCAGTGGAGGACGACGGCTTGGAATATCACTATTCGGACAAGGGTTTGGTCTAGGGCGAAAACAAAACACGCCGCCGCCGGGGGCACTGCGGTAACGTTTGCACCCTGCCGCGTGCTGCTGCCCTCCTTGCACGGTCCCACTAAAAGCGCGCCTCCCCTTTCCCCACCCTCCCCAAACCGTTTCCGTCCGTCGCGACTATTGCGACCAGCAGCGAGCACGTCAAGTGAAGACTCGAGGATGGCAGAAAGCGCGGCGCGACGGCTCACCCAGCTCTCGCTTCCGTCGGAGTTGCAACTGTGGGTGTTTGTCGTCCCTGTCGAGACACGGCCCCGTGGCGTCATTTTCTTTTTTTTTTTTATACCCCCTCGCTCGAAGCTGCGAGGGCCTGCCTAGTGCAGCGTCAGTTTCTTGTTTTATTCTTCCTCTTTGAAAAGAAAAAGAGCAGAAAGAGGGAAACGTGAAGTTAAGGTTGCTTTGTTTGGTGCTGGGGTCAACTGACCAAGTGGGGTTCAGATTGGATTTTAGCTGGGAGTCTGTACTTGACGTGGTACGCAGCGACTGTGCAATCTGTCTGTTGTTGCGACTGGAGCCCTTTTTTCTTTCTTTTTCTTTTGCCACAATAGAATTTAGGGAATGTTTCCGAAGCAGCTACACACAGAGCATGCGTGTCCTTCTGGCTGCTTTTCATGGTTTGTGAGATCATGAGGTAGTTGGTAACGGTTCAGTTGGAGTAAAACAACACAGATGAGAAAGGCGAAATAGAATTGAGTGGAACGAGGCTTTCACGCACAGTTTCTTTGATTGTACCGAGCTAATGCAGACACAAAAGTCGGTGCTGTCTTTGCTAGTCCCTACACTTGGCCTGTTTTGTCTTTGGGCTGTTTTGCCCCGGGTGACCCGTGCAAAGTCCTATGTCTTGGGCATGCTAATCGGTTTACTGCCATCACTCAACCTACACTTGTGAGGCTAGATATATTTGCACATTCTGCTGGTTTGCTTAATTTTTAGTTTGCTTTTTTGTCCTTGGGCACGAAGCAAAGATTGCCAGACTGAATGGTGAGCTATTATAGGAAAGAATCTTTAGGATGCACCAGTCCCCTCGGTTGCCAAAAGAGTCCAAAGGTGCAAACACGCCAAGTAATAGCTTGCAGTAGAACCTTACATCGCACGTTCGGTATGTAGTCTGCTTCAGTGGCGTTTTCTGAATTCCGTATGACGTGAAAGCATTAATTGACACGTGGGTGGTATCAATCATTCGTCTCATGTTAGTCATGATAAAAATTCCTCGTCGCCTTGTCCCAGACTCGGCTACCGTATGTCTCCCTTCATTCCTGTCTTCACTAAATTCTGTGTGTTTGGGGCTTCAAATACAGAACAAAGCAGATGCAGATGAAGGAGTGTCACGTTTGCAGGGTGTGGAAAAGCCCCAGCTTTTTAGCGTAGTAAACTCGCCTTGGAGGAGGCTTTCTTAGAGATTAGGCGTGCTGACGATTTTTAGATTTTGTTGTTTATTCTTACTTGTTGAGCAGTGAGCATTGTTTTTAGCTTAGTGAAATGAGTGGCACTGCCTGTTTTTGCAAATATACCTTTCTTGCTTTTCTTTTTGTAATACTGATGTCCTTTTGACAGTTTGTATTGTTTTCTATGAAGAAAGTTCCTGGTCTCCTGAAGTGTCTGTAAAAGCCCTACATACTAATTTTGCTATTTAAAAATGTGAGCTGCAGTATGGAAGAGGAAATATTTTTTACTTGTGCATGCATGGTCTACAGGAATGGATAAAATGCAATTGCAATATGTTCCATTGTCTCATTTCTGTATATTCTTGTTTGGACACTACTATCCTTGCTGTTACTGCACAGCTCTTGCAGACTTTTCTGGGATGGTTGAGAATTTGGCATTTTCTCTTCGAAATACGTATTCACATGCATTTGTTTTCTCGCGATACGGTCATATACCGCTCAGAACTTGCAATACCTCAACTAGCAATTTGTGTGATTATGCTTATAGAGGAGCATCATATGGGGCTTTGTAGTGAGAGTGTGTCATGTAGCCTGAGCAAAGCTTCTTCTTAAAATTTGCAACCCTTTCTAGGAGTCTTATCATCCAAGATGCTTTGGGTGGTAGAGAGCAAGGGATTCTTGCAATTTGGCAGCCATTCATATTGGAACCGAGCTCGGGTAGCCTAGGGCTGTGGGTCTTATTTCTACAAAGGAGAAACAAAGTGCAGAAGTGTTTGCCATATGCACATTCACCTGTCGGAGCCCACAAGTGCTGAAATTTGATGTTTTGGTGCCATCTAAGAAGCAAAGTCGGATCCCCGCGTTACAGCTATCGATCATTTGATGTGCAGGCAATTCTCTTGGAATTTAAGATGTTTCGTTGCAGCCATAAGAGTTAAGGCAAGTCACCAAGATACTTGGAAGTGTGGTTGGTTCAACTCTTAGTATGCCTGGAAATGCAGAGAACAAATGTGTTGTTTTTTTGTCTTTTTTTGCAGCATCTATTGTGTGATTTAACGAACAAAGTATTTATTGGACAGATGGAAAAAAATATGCTTTGTACCAATACCACATGTTTCCTATTTTCTTAAGCTATGATTGAAATCAAAGGCAGCTGAACAGGGTAATCTAACTTGCAGCTGTTTTGATATTGAAGCTCGAATGAACAGGAATGGCAACTCTCGTCTAACTTGTCTGCTTCTTCTTTGTCGCGTCGAGAGCTCTTGGACAGAAACATATCAGAGCTCGACTCACTCGCTTGGAAGGTAGTTTTTGCATTTTCCCTTCTCCCGTCTGTACTTATGCATGTTTCTGAAATGCAGAGAGGACCGAGTTGGCACTACACCCTTGGCATTCTTTCTGTAATGCTCTTTTCTGTGTCGAATGGTTGTTTTTGATACGGCAGTGCTCTCTTCCTGTGGGGGGGAGGCACGATCACGAATAGAACGTCGAGCTTTTGCTGTTGTGCGGGAGAGATGTCAGAGTTTGTGAAAAGTGGGTTTGTCAATATTGTAAGCAGTTTTGTCCTGAAAATATTCCTCTTTTTTTTTTTTTCATTACAAAAGGTGGTTATATCATGTCTGTCGGCAATTAAAGAATTTTCAAGACGTAGTTTGTTGTCACTGTTTTCTTGGATAGTCGGGGACAGTGTAGTTATGGTAAATGCCTACGGATAGGTGGGTTCTTTGAACATGATAAAGTCTGAAATATTTGGTAGTGACTGTACTTCGATTGTGGTGGATTAAGATACTTGCATGCATTTTTAATATATGTTCTTTGTTGTTTTTTCATTGTTTTTCTCTAATGAAGGTAGTGTTTTTCTGTGATTGCCAAGTCTTGTAATAGTGCAAAGGATGCTTTTTTCGTGAGGTGGTAAGTATGGGAACACTATTGGGCAGGAGATCGAACTATAGGGGGCGCTCTGACCCGTTTGTTTTCCCCACGCTTGGTGTTTACTCAACACAAGGCCTGTGCACATGCCGACAGGCCTTATGGGCATGGCCATGCCATCTTCTACAATAGAGCGCGGGGCGCAGTTTAATAAAAAAAATACTAACAATCGACGAAGCGACGTTAAGTGCCGGATCTATCCTCAGAGAATGCGAGCTTGACCCACTTCGGCTTTTGTGATGAGCTGGGATCGTGCATGCTGCATTGTTCATACAGGCCGAGTGGAAACAAAAGAGCCCCTCCTCCCCTTCGCCGGAGAACACGAACTCCAGCCGAACGCTGACGCCGCGTTCGGTTATGTCGGCCGAACGCTGCGTCATTGTATTTGTTGTCCCCATCCGTGTAGTTGTTAGGTTAACCGCTTGGGGCGTCACGGTCTGTCCTCCTCCCCAATAGCTTATATACAAAATATCTGGTCATAATTTTTATGGCCTAAGTACATCAAATGCCCTTGTAGAGGTTTCTAAATATGAAACTTTCTACTGCAAATTGAATTTGAATTTTGTAAAATATAAAGATTTTACATTTAATCTGAACTGGGGCACTTTTAAAGGGATACTTCAACGAAATTTGAAATATTCCAGTCGTGTTCAAAACTAGGTTGAATATGATCCACAATATCCGTAAACGGCAATCGCACGTTTGTATTTTAAGCCTGGTGGCTGTATTTTTCGTTGTAAACGGCCCACTCTGGCAAGCGCCCGAAGAAGGCCCAGCGGAGACCACGTGACGTCCAACGCAATCGTGACGTAGGTCGTTTCGGGACAAGCAAAGCTACGGCGAGGCTGACGTCGAGGGGATGGCCTAGTCGTTCCAGCCACCGAAGCGGCTGCTTTTGTACGAATTTTGAGTGACGAATTAATCTTCTATAATCTTGTAGGGGGACAATAGCGACTTCTGCGACACACAAAAGGCATTCTCGGGAAGAGGGGAGTTCCTCCTTCCCCTCTTCTCTCGTGGCCGGAGGCGAGACAACCTCGGTCACTAGCCGTCAAGGTTCCTAGACGGGCATTACAAGCGAGACGTTAGCGACATCCACCAGGTGCTCTTTGCTAATCGTTTAATTTGTTTTAAAATTCCTTTTCGTGTCTTTGTTAACAGGATATTGGTACGGTCGATGTGATACTGCCCCTTAGAACACATATAGACCAAAAAATGAGCATTGAAATTTTGTTGTAGTATCCCTTTAAGAAGTTTTAAGTGGCATCCTTTTTGTGTCCCCAGAGTTTGATTATTTTTAGAAAACTGCAACGATTGCTGCAGAACATGTGGCAAGCTTCTCTGCCGCATGTTGTTCATTAGTCATTACAACATTATTGCTGGCATTTCAAAGCTGAGAGGCGAGCGGGGGTCATCTGCCACAGCCAGTGATGTCACTTTTGCTAGTTCTTCTCTTCTACTGTCCTGCACCCTGCATGCAGCAGCAGGCAGAGCTAGGGGCAAAATTTTAATTTGCAATTGTGCCGCTTCTATTAATAAAAAGGAAAATTTCACGTGACTTTTTAGGCACCTACTATTTGTATCTAGAAAATCAAAAAACCCTTTTTAGTAATTTGTTTCATCTTCAGACAGACCGAAGCAAATGCAGTCGTGCCTTCACAACCAATCCAGCTCCGAGAGTGGGTCACGTCACCTTGTGGTTGGGTGCGGTGCACGTCACGTGACGCACACTCTGCACTTGGTTGGCCAAGATGGCTCAATAGCATCTGCTGCGGTTTATTTCAAAGTGAGATAAAATGTGTACACAGGAGAAAGTCTATCTCTGCATTGGTGTCATGTCGGCCGCAGAAGGGAGATTAGCAGTGCATGAGAACGGCTATTTAGGAACCTGGATAGCTGTTGTCCGAATCACACTAGTAATAATGTGTGAATGCATGCAGGTGCAATGCCAGTCCCTAGGGGTTGGGGTATGTTATACCCGAGTCTGCAGCACAAGCCTTCTCCTCCAAACCTGCTGCCCCACGCTGACACGCTGCCATGGCAGACCTCGGGTAGATTGCGACAATCTTTGGGCCTTCCCTTTGGACCATTTGGCATGTTGGCCGGTGGGCACCACTTGTGGCAGTAAAGTCGTGATGCATACCAAACCACGACGCTTAAAAATGCAGACGAGAAATACCTTGAATCAAAATATATTTCACTCAAGTGTGGCATCGCACTGATCGGCAACATAAAATATATATTATAAATATTATTTTTTTACACTCTTTGCACATCCCTTTCTAAAAAGTCAATTATCTATTATATACACACAGTTAGCGCACATAACATCTGGAATGGTGTCAGCATAATTTGCACAATCTCGAGACAAAAATGTGCATAAATATCCTCACACTGTTTCTTGTGAATCGCAGCTTTCTGCAGGATTGGCAAGGCTTGGCACAACCTCCTAACATTTGGCACACTGGTTTGTCCATTTGTAAGAGAATTTTGAAGGTTATCACTTCGATTTCGTGGCACAACAGGCAGCTTGATGGCAGCGGCTTGATTGTCCGACACAAATTATGGAGTTGCAAATGGACACACTTCCTCGCATGGCATGGCCTTGTGTTGCGAGTTAAGCTGCCCAATCTCAGCTCTTGGGGAAGTCGTCAAAGTGCTTGAGCATGGTTGTCTTGGGGGCGAGCCAGCTGGGGTCTTGGATGATTTCGAGTTCAACAACCTTGTACCGGTTTTTGGGAGCCAGTTTGGGCACCAAGGCCCTGTATGCTCGCTTGAGCATTGCACTGTTTATGACATACTCCTGCAAAGCGGAAGAGTGGTGTTCTTTAGTCTCGTCAACAGTCATAAATAACGCAGTGAGAAAAGAAACACTGTCTTGAATGGGTAAACTCGTCCTTTTACAAGGATGCAGAGCCTGATCTCAAAAGGTTCCATCTGGTATTACTAGAACAGCTCTACTGGCAGCAGTGTTCAGCAGAACATGAATATGTGCAAGGTAGTATTGCTTGGAAACTGTCGTCTGAATGCATCAACGTGCATTCGAAGAGTTCACAAGGTTTGGGTGTCTGGCCCACATTTCAATACATTGTCATACACTGCACATTGCTAGGGTTGTCCTTGAGTCCCAGATAACCTAGAGCAGCTTTGCAACAATAGCAGGGGAGCAACATGAAAGAGCCTTACCTCAACCACGTGGGAAAATATCCAGGACAAGCCGCAAACCATGAGGATGGTCATCCGGAAGTGGATTTTCTCCTCCGATCGCCAGCGCACCATCTGCAGGCCATTTGTGGATGCCGTGACTTAGACCTCCAGTTGTAACCACAGAAAAGATGAGGACTTACATCAAAGAAGCCTTTCACAGATGGGAATGCCTGGAACAGCAGGAATGTGGTGAAGCAGAACAGCACAACCAGGTTTCCCAGGAACCAGACTGCAATGGAATGGCATTCCTGTGGGTGAGCCTCAAATTGCCTACTACTATAGGTTAAGCTTTAAGTGTTTCTTTTTCTGATATCTCTCTTTCTCGTGGTGCTTCAGTGCACTGCCGGTCCTCAATAGGCGGGATACTTAAAGGAAAACTGAAGCGGTTCTATATTTGAGAAAAAAACACTTAAATCATCTTAATTCATTTGGCCTCCAGAATCACGAATACCCTATTTAGATTTCAGGTTGATGCACCAAGTAGCTACAACATCAATTTGAAAATAACGTCGAAGCCCCTCCCCAATGCATTTAGAGGGAGGAGATAGCCGTGACGTATTATACACATATCTCAACATTTCCACGCCTTCTGCATTCCTTCCCTGAGCCGTCAAAAACGCTGCACGTGTTCCCTCGCAAGCAGCAAGCACAAGGCAGTTGAAACCTCTGGGTATGACGTCGCACCCAGCAATTGATTTTTCGGTTTTTCTCACGTCTATTGATACGTTCGGGTCGAATGGTTGTGATATTCAAATCCACGGGACAAAAATACGCTAGAATTCAAATCTAACTCCTTGTTTTCGAGATACGCTTGAGCTTCCTTTCAAATAAAGTGATAACAGTGCTGAAAGTTGTGAAGTTAATATATTGAGTGATTGTAGATTTGTCTTAAAATTGCTTGTGCACACCTAGGCAGACCTATTGTACAGGTCAAATTTTATACCTCAGCAAACAGTTCTGCATACCTGCTTTCCTGCACAGCATGCAGAGGACAAATTGTGATTTATAGACTGAGTCTAGTGAATGAAGACCTAGAAATGCCACAAATCAGGAATGAAACTCTGTACATAAGAAACTTTATGTTACTTTCTCTAGCACAGGCTGCATTTCTGGCCCATGTCGTCCTTTTGATAAATTTGTTCCAGAGATTGCAACAATACCTTTCCACAATTATAAAAGAGGCTGCTTACAAACTATGTGAAATGGTAACTACTACCGCAGATCGCAGACAGGAAAAATCCGAGTCTCACGGTGCGATAAATATGCAGGAATTCGCTAAAACTGACTCTTTTGTCACGAGGACAGGTACCGCAGAACGTGGACGCCGCACATTTGCATTTCACAGTGTGATAAATGTGCGAGAAACTGCTATAAACTCGGATGTCACGGGAACCGATACCACGCACGTAAACCGCAGACAAAAAAAGAGTGGAAACCCGCTACAAACACGCATACTGCAGATTGTGGACACAGCAGATTCACATGTCGCAGTGCGATAAACACGAGAGAACCCGCTTGTCGCAACTATTGACACCACAGATCACGTGGTTGATATGGTTCCCTTTGGACATTGCATAATCAATGATCAGCGGGAATTGTGGGGTGGACAATTGTTCGTAATTTTTATGTTGCGGATAAGGCAACCTCTCGGAGACTGGCTTTCTCTCGGAACTTTGCGGTAGAGTAATGTTTTACAGCTTTCAGTGTAAACCTCTCTTAGTTGCATATCAAATGAATGGCTGCATCATTCTTACAAGGCAGACAGCAAATTTTTTTCTATAAATATTTTTTTATTGGTTTTGATTTTTGAATGATTATTACAATGTGATTAAGTTATAAGACAACCAATAAAAATAGTGAAAATTTAAATAACTACCTTTTTTTTACCACCAAACCCTGGAACCACTTAAAGGGACACTGACACCCCCCCCCCCCCCCTTCCCCCCCAAAACATTTTTTTGTATTTTTTTGCCAGGCAATTTATTACGGCGTCAGAAGACTACCTAGTAATCAATATTTTGCTGCAGTCCACGTACAGTAGAACCTCGATAATTCTATCTCGGTTTATTCGGAATCCCGGATAATTTGCAAGACTTCCACAGTCCCGTGGCTTCTCATGAAAATATGACCGGATAATCTGAGCGCTCCGCGCATGCCTATCCAGTTAATTCGCCGATTTGGTCTTCCAGGTTAAATTCTTAGTTGCTAGGTGGCGCCAGTTGGCATCCAGATTCGACAGCAAAAACAAAGATGGCGAGTGTCTAGCTGATCCATTTCCTGGTCCACACGCTTAGTAGACCCTTTGTTTTTTTGGGCTTGGTGTCTCGGTAATCTTGGCGCCGCACCGCTGTGGGGCTGTGGTTCGGGGCGTTACTGAACCGCATGTAAGCGATGTTGCGAGCGACGGGACGAGCGACGGCGAGAGCCAGCGACAAGCTACAGAGATTTCTCACTGTCGCCCGTCGCGTTGTTCGTCTCCTTGGTCGCTCGCTCCCGTCAATTTCATCTGGTTTGCCTCGTCGCGTGATTGACTGAGCAACAGCAAAGCGAATCACCGTTGCTTGTCTTATCGCTCGCCAAATCGCTTACATGGACGGGCGGTGGAGCAGGAGGATATTGCCAGTGCTAGTGCCAGTATTCTCCCTGGGATTGACCACAAGGGAGCAGAGCTTTGCTCCCGCATTCAGGACAGTGACGATGAGTTGGTCAGCATAAGTTTCACAGACTACTTAAAGATGGAAGAGAATGAGTAAACCTGCTACGCGGACTTTGAGAGTGAAATCACCGAGTGTGACGGCAGAGATTGATGACAATGATGAGCCGCCTTGGGCCCCCCTCTAGGGGAACTTATACGGTCACTGAATGTCCTCTGCAGCTTTGTGGAATGTAACGGCAGTGATTCTGAGATGATATGCCTAGTTAGCCTATTTTCTCGTTTTGACACTCGTTTTGAATAAAATGTTTCCTTCGATATTGAAGGCTTCGCGCGCAATCTTCAGTCGTTTTCTTTCCTTTTTGGATCATTTGCAAATCCGCTTAATTCGCGAATATTTCGCAGTCCGACTGACTTCGAATTAACGAGGTTGTACAGTAGTATATTTTTAATAAAGTAAAAACACGCACTGCTCGAAACTGAACTGAACTGGTGAGGAAGAAATATAGAGGAGGAGAAAGATACTACAAGTCACGTGGCTGTGCAACTTTTTTTTTTTGTTTTCAATCAATGTGTTTGCAACTTTTTACAAGCATTTAGAGTATTGAGTGTGTGCCTTCGATGACCCACGACTTTGATTATCTTTGGTGGTTGTGTCTAAGCCATAGAAAATGGCACATGACCACGAAGAAGAGCGTGAGCGCGACTCAAATCGGCCAGTTCTTAATCGGCAGTTTTTGGGCGGAAAGAAAACGAATTGCGAGTTGCAGATTGTGTTCTGGGTAGTTCGGCTCTCATATGTCATGTAGAAATGAAACCTTGGCGGGCATAACTACCCTGTCAGTGTCCCTTCAATAGGTGGCAGGGGCACTTGTTGATTTTCTTAAGACTTCTATTGTAGGGTCCATTTTTTTGTTAAAATTATTACAATTGCCATTGACCTTTGAACGATTATCACAGTGTAGGGTTTCGCAAATATTCTAAATTTGTAATAGTGGTTTCGAATAACAGACTATTCGATATTCGCTTCGAGAAGGACTACACTATTCGCGTTTTTCGAAGTGTTGATTGCGGTGGGTTAGCCCCGTTGAGTGCGCTTCTTTCCAAGCAGCAGTGCACAGCGGAGAAGCAAAACACGCGGAAGCAAGCTTCGTGGGTGTTGCTTTTCTGCATTACATCGGTGCTCGGTAAGAAGCCCGCTCAACGGGGTAACCCGCTGCAAGAAACTCTTGGAAAAGTATAAATATTGCAATTGTGTGTTTGGAAGAAAAGCATACATTCAGAGCGGGATGGTGCACGCTTGCCGGTTGTATTTGGGAATAAATGGAAACTTTGTGAATGTGCATGTCTACATTATAGTAAAAGTTCCAAAATTAAACTGACCGTTATGCAAGAGTATACTATGTTAGGCGGAGATGCCCTTACAACCTGCATTCAACATGCGCAATTATTTTTTTTTAACTCGAGATTAAAGAAAGAATATTTCATATAGCAAGATTTGTAAATTCACTCAATTGGATATAGTTGGCCATCTCTATAGGATTCATTTTATGTAAATCCGTTGTTTACTTGCCATCCCAAGACATCACACATTATGACGACACAGTTCAAAAATATACATAAACTTGGCTTATAAATGAACAAGTGGAACAAACTTCACAAGTTTAGCTGGGTTTTCGTCTAAGCATTACGCAATGGTAGTGAAAGGCGTGAAAAAATTATTCGATATTCGGATCGAAAATATTCGGCCAAAACCAGTATTTGCTTCGAATTCGCTTCAAACTCAAAATTCACTATTCGCACAAGACTATTATAGTGTGATCAAGTTGTAAGGCAACCCGAAAAATTAGGAAAATTTAGTCCTTTTGGCAGTTATCAATCCTACCACATGAGTGAGATGCAGTGGGTAGAGTGGCCTTGCCTGCTGCCCCTTCAATACTTGCCGTCTCTGGCTTGTTCATCTGGGGCACAGGCCAGGTGTATCACGAAGCTATTCCCCTCTCTAGCTCGGGCAACGGTTAACTTCGTTCTGTTAAAGATTATAGTGCACACTCAGATGGCACCAAACTCCGCACTGAAATATTTTTTAGTTTCACTTTGGGCTCAAAATGATACCACATGGGTAGGGCATAGACCCAATGGCACGTTGGCCTTTAAAACGGACCACATAAATCGGTTTCTTAACATATCGCACTTTGATTTACTATGCAAGTGCTCATGGGTGGTGCATTTTGTGTCAAAATTTCAAAGAATGAACTCACCTGCATAAAAATTGAGAAAAGAATGCCTTTTTTTCTACCTACGGTGTTTGTCTGCAAACAACACACTGATCTCTACAACAGCGAACAGATTGTGGCAGAAGTCCACAAAGGGAATCCACATAGCCGAAATCACCTGACAATTAACCACCTTTTTTTGTTGGTATAGCACCCATTTCAATTATAAGAATGACAAACACCAAAAAAGCGTGCACCGTACTTGACTTGAAAAGACTGTCTGCTAGCCCTTGCGAGGAAAAGGTTGCAAGGCGACCGCTGCTGACGTTTGTTGGCTGTTTCGCTAAACGGACATGTGCCGTTTGCAGACAGACGCCATAGGTCAGTAGGTAGTTCTCAGCTCCTGATGTTATGGGGACCCCTTCTGAACCAGAATAAGTGATGGGGAACCCCATTCACTGGGTGGGGGGAGGAAGGGTATTGGATGACTACAATGACAAAGAGGTAAATGAGGAAACTAAATGCGTGCAAACCAACTTTGAAGCTCCGAAACAAACATTAGTCAATTCTACTCTCGACATGGATGGTTTAGTTTAATATTGAGCTCTTTATACAACCGGCACCAATAAACAAATTTAAAAAAAGGTTTTGTTGCTTTGTTTGATTGACAAGCTAGGACTTCGGGGTTTCCAATCGGGAGTCTGAAGGGTCCATTGACCCCCATTTGAAAACCACTGCCACAGGTAGGGAAAAGGCATTTTTATTTTATTACTTTTTACACAGGTATGTTCATTCCTCAAAATTCTAATACACAAAATACCCCACTTATGCACACCTCTGTAGTGAGTCATAGAAAATTGATTTACGCAGTCTCATCACATGCCAACGTGCCATCATGTCCAAGCTGTAGCACAGCCTCGGGAAGAGAAACCAAGAATACGCACCAGATGTCGGATTGTTAACTGTGAGATAAGAGACTGGATAAGACTCGCAGCTTTGGACTTACAGTTGCTCCACAGGGGCTTCTGGAATGGTGGTCCTGTGGAGAAAACCACCGCCATGATGAGGTACTGGTAGCAGGAGACGAAGAACAGGGTTGCCGTGTCCCAGTAATTGTAGACGTCTTCCTCCGGGTCATGGTTGGGACGGGTGTACCTGCGACGCGCAGGATTTCTTCAAATTATTTCAAGCTCTTTGGGAGCGACTCAAAAAGCAAAAACAGATTAGATGGATGTTTGTGTTTAGACAGCATAAGGTCGGCTTGCCTTTAAGGTATGGTGACACTGGTTTACCCTGTACGTAAGAAATTTAGCCAGTGAAGTACGATTGCTAGCCTGGGGCCTTTGACGTACCACGTAGTAGTGATATACAACCGCACGTCAGTGTGATGCTCGTCCAGATGGAAAACAGGCAAAGGTGGAGACTGAAACCAGGATCCCAGAATTCTACAGCGCGAGCTTTTGTTCCACATACTCCTAACTGCGATGCGTTAACACAGTCAGCCACCGAACCCCTAGGGAGTTACTCAGTAACCTTCAGGTTATTGATTCATCTGATTTTCCAATGCTTGCCTGCAGATTGGGAAAGTTTTGCCTCAAATTGTTCAACATATTGCCATTGCTACAGTGACAAAAATCTTGTAGACCCACAGATGACAAATGGTGTATCTTTGTCCTTTACAAAAAGGGCAGGAAACCAGCAGTGGGTATCACTTGTTCCTCACATCTTTCTTGTGCTTATACTTACATTTAGCCAACAATGATGTGTTTACGTAATTGAGAGTTGATTAACGATAATACAGTGATGGTGCAGGTGAGTTAGGTGTGAGTTTAACATTTTCTTATTAAAACGTCCAATACTAGGAGGAGAAACTCGAAGAAACCAAAGCAGAAGGAACAGGGAAAGAGGACAGAAACCAAAGTTTCTTTCGAGAGGTTGGTTTTTGTCGTCTTTTCCCCGTTCTACTTTGATTGCTTTAAGTTTCTGCAACCCAGTTGCAGCTGTTTTAAGAAAAGGGGAGGGTCAATTGTTTTGTCGAATAAAGGTGATCCAGCACCTATATAGCCTTAGGTTTAAGCATTTGTTACGTACGAGCAGCCGTCGCCGGCTGTCAGAGTATTTTAATGAAAGCAAGAACCCATAAGGGCTAAACGACAGTTTCGTAGGGATCCAGAAGAAGAACATGAGCGAGCGCGCACCCTGGCACGTGCTCTGGATCAGGGCCACACCCTTCGTCGGTGGCGATGATGATACTAGCGTCCCACCCATAGTCGGTGGCGATGATGATAGTCCTGCGCCGCCGACACATCAGCATTCTAGGTGAGAGAAAGTCCTGCGACGACGGTATATACTCACCAGGACTGTGACTGTAGGTACTTGAGCATTCCCACTTGGCCAACGGTGACAATGATCAGCTGAAGAAGCAGCGATGTGATGTTGGACTGGCTGACGAGGCTGCTCTGGGGACGCCCAGCCACCAGCTCGGTGCAGGGCTCTGCATAGCTCACTGCAGGCGGAGTAACAGCCAGTCAGTCTTTGAGGCACCGAAGTGCGACCAATGAGAACGCGGCAATTTTTTGAAAGGGCCAACTTTTCTGCCACAAGATGAGCCGTGGCATTTAGTACTCACTTGTCACTGCAAGCGTTGTGATGACAAACAAGTCGACATAGAGAAACATGCCATCCGAGAAGTTGGTCTGCACCTGCAAAGGAAGTAAACACACATTTTCGTTGACAAAGATATTAAAAAAAATTACCGCATCTCCACGTGGTGAATGATGTTGATTGGGGCGAAGCTCGGGTGGTGCTGATGATACTGATTTTGGTCATAGGTAGTGCTGATGGTGCCGTTTTCATTCATGTCAGTAGAAGAATGTGTGGTTTTCTTCTTTTTCTTTTTTTAAGACAGATGGGATGCTATCTCAGAGGCCCCTATTTTTTTTCTTCTTTTTCTTTTTTTTTTTTCATCTTTTTTTTTTATTTTTTTTATTTCTTGCTCTCGCTGCTGAACTCACGAGCAGGGGCACGCCGGACGGCGGACAGACATACGGACATGGCTAGCCCCTAAGGAGCTTCGCTCCTAAAAACTTACAAACAACCACACAAGGTGTGGTGCGATTGACAGCGCCAGCTGCTGCAGTGTGGAAAGGCATGTTGATGGAGATTTTCCTTCAGCCAGTTTTCTGTACAATGTTTGCAAAGGGTTCTTTGCTTTCAGTGGAATTGATGTAGGACACCTGTGTGAGGAGATGTGTGCTTTGGTGGAACGTTTGTGCGAGATGTTTCATGTTTTGGAGAAGGACACAGGGGCATGTTTTTTGTGGCTGAAATGCTCTTTCAGAATGGGGGCGCTCGTGAGCATGCCTGCGGTGGAAGAAGCAAAAGTATGTACGCAAACTGCTCTGTAGAGGCACGGAGCGACATGAGAATGGAACCTGGGCAGCGGCAGTGGGGAGGCGAGGCAGCGCGTCCACACAGTGTGACCGCGTGGATTTTTCGCAATGGCAGCTGCCAGAGGGGTAGCAAAACCGATGGGGAGGTGAAGAGCGCTCTCCCAGTGATCACGTGGGTTTTTCGTAACGGCGGAGGCCTATGGGGGGAAATGGGGGAGCGAGAGAGAGCCTTGCCATGTGTGAGAAATGACAGGAAGAGGGAGAGCAGTGACTCTTCTGTAGAGTGGGGTTTTGTGTTCGTACATGAGCACTTTCTTGTCGGGAAGGGGCACTAACAGCTACCGCTGTAAAATAATACTACCATAAAATCCCTGAAGAATGCCCACCCTTAATGAAGAGAGAAATGTTGAAAAATATTGGGTGGACAATCTTTAAGAATGAGACAGCAGACTGTTATCCAAAAAGTAGTCATAAACACAGGAGCACTCCCTACAAACTACATAACACTAGGCACGGGAGCTGATACTACACTAGGCACGGGAGCTGATACTGCAGAGAGCGGATAAGAAAAATTCACGTTCTGTGGCATGATAAACACGTGGAAACTCGCTGCAAACTCCCGTGTGTGTCGCAAGAACGAATACCGCAGATTGCGGATGCAGCAGATTTTGTTTCCACTATGTAATAAAGATGCAGGAACCAGCTGCAATCTCGTATGTCACAAGAACTGATATTGCAAATCGTAGATGCAGCAGATTCGCGTTTTATGGTGCGATAAAAATGTGGGAACTCGCTACAAACTTGGGTGCTACGGGTACCTGCTACAATCTCTCTTTTCACACTTGCCATACTGCAGATCGGACGGCTTATGTGATCCCTGTCGGACATCGTGCAATGTCTAATGGGAATCGGGGGTGAGCGATGTTTCAGAATATTGATGCTAGGGATACTTATCCTTAAAAACCGCGTGGGCGATCTCTCATGGGAAGGCGTTCATACGGAATTTTACGGTACTAGACCTTGAAACCAATTAGCTGAAGTGTCTTATCGTAAAATACTGGCAAACATCCACACAAAAGTTGGAGATAATCGTGAAAAAATGGGAATGGGCATTGTTAGGTCTAATGGCAAACAAGCAGAAAGGGAACATTGTAGCGTAGGTCCTTGTTTGATCCGACAGACCCCCCAATTTTTATAGCAGCTGCACCAGTGTCGTCAGGTCTGCTTTGTGACAACGCTCTTGCATCGGGCTTCCCCGCTTCGCCATGGAGCTTGTGCAGAAAGCTTTGCACTGGCTTCTTGGTTCAGTGGACCCCGGTTAGCTCAGTGGGCTCGGAAGTTTGCTGGGATGAGTGCTAGATCTGTCCTTTGCTTATATTTTAAATAAGTGGGTGTGGGTGCTTATTGCAAGATGGGTGCATGCTGAACGTTATGGCATAGGGATTTTTCTCTAGTCATCTCCATTAATTCCAACTGCAGACCATTGTACAGCATCCAGGAAGACTATCTACTAGAGGTGTGCAAATATCATATCTTTAACTGCAACTCAAGTACGAACATTAAAAATCGACTGTGAATGCAATAAAATATTTTTGCTAAATTGTTACATTTAATCTGAATAGATAATAGAAACTTCAATAAATCACAGCTGGAATTATTTTTCAGCGAACATACGTATGAAAAGCCACATTTATTGCCCGAGAGACATTTCGCACACTTCTGTTCAAAAGTCCCTGATAAGATGAGTCGGATAAGACATAATGTAGCATGCTAGCGAGGTAGTGACTGTTTTATTTATTTTAATATTAGGTTAACTTATTTCTCGAGGCACTTCTCTTTACAATTAAGGGTTCAGCTATACCTTGGAACCAAAGAAGGTTCACATACAATAGTGAGGAAAAATTTTCAAGCTTAGTCAGTCAACTGAGACGATATGTCACATCAGTCGTTTCTGCGAGTGTGTCTGTGCACAGCAGCAAAGTGTGATGTATGCACTGGTGCAAAGTGCTGAAGCTTGATGTGAAACATTAGGGAATTCTTAAGTCGTTCCCAGACTCAGCTTCTCTCAATCAATCGTGAAAAAATACTTACGTAGTAGAGCAGCATCACGGAGAGAAACTGGATGAGACTGTACAATGAGATGAACTTGAACATGGAGAATGAAGTGGCCAAGGCACAGCGTCCTTCCCTGCCAAGGCAACAACATTAGTTAGACATAGGGCCTGAAACTCAGAAATGTTGGTGACCTCATACTGAAGAAAATCTTTACACCGCGTGATTTCAAAGTCTTTACAGACTTATAAAAAAACACAACCAGCATGTTGCCATATGCCAATATTAATTAAAAATAATATTAACATAGGTCATCCAAGTTTCATGTTGCTGCTTTAGTGTGTGTCAAACGTACATCAAGACAGCTTTCTTACAAAATGTATTGTGAAGGCATCATAAAATAATGCGACAGTCATGTCTAATTCATATTAGCACTACACTTGCCTACAACTCTTCATTCAAAATTTTGGTAAGAATCAATTTGTGTTGTACATTAGTCATAGGTACATTTGTGCCTTCTCGACAGTGTGAATCTGCGTGGGCTGGATGTGCACATGTAACTTCTCCGCAATACATCAGTGCTCTGATGGAGAAATAACCATCTCTAATGCACAAATACAGTGAAACCCGTTTAGAAGGAACCCACGTACAGCGAATTATTGTCGATATCGAACTCGCAGAAAATTTAAATAAAAATGCATGTAAAACATACTTTTTGTAACAAACAACATAGTGGTTATATCTACCTTTTTTCCCCCGGAAAGGCTTCCAAAAACGCGCAAACAATCGTTTTCTAGCCTGTCCCTTCCCCCCAAACAGAAGTAGGGAAGACAAAAAATTCCAAAAGCTCAAGTTGCGAACAAAATTGAGCAAAGAGAAGCTATTCAGAAGGGGAGAAAGCTAAAAAATACACTCTGCGCGCATACACAGGAAAGAAAAACAGAACTTTTCATCTCAAAACGTTTGCCTACAAAGAGAAGCAAATCAGAGGAGGAGATAAGCTAAAAAAACAAACCCTACACGCATGAACAAAAAAAAAAAAAAAAAAAAAAAATCCAGCGCGTTACAAGGCGGAATTGAAGAGATGAGAAAGAACGAGAAGCTCTCACCTTACAACGAACGCATCGTGAAAATTTGTTGTAAATGGTTTTTGCTATATCAAACTACTTGCTATATCGAACTGATCGTAACGTTTCCTGCTGTTCGATATAAACGGGTTTCACTGTAATGACTGGCTTTCCTACATGTCTTGTTATATGACGCATGCAAAGCCTGTTACAGAAGCTGGAACATAAAACTTATCATCACGGCAAGTTCCTGATATTTTGGTGCTATGAAGTTTTAATTGCAACTACAATATGTTGAACAATTCCCGTACCTCAGGTCACAGCAAAGTTGATCAATAGGTGGTCAGTTTACCTGATTACAGTGGGCACACACTGTATGTTGGGCACCTTAGAAGTGAAAGGTGCTGCCACAGACGACTCTGCTTCGGACAGGGAGATCCCAACATCTGCAGCTTTTAGGGCCTTCAATAAAAGAGCAGTCTGTGTTAATGCGAAGAGTAGTCATTCTTAGATTGAAAGTTAAGAAACTAAGATGCCACAAGATTGGCAATTCAATGCCGGAGCAGGGCAGCAGTCTTGTTTAAAACGTTTGAATAAAAGCTTTACTCAATAAGGACGAAACCTATAATGCTGGGTTTTATGTTCAATAATTATACTACTTTAGGAATTATTCTATAGCTTTAATTGTGGTTACAGCTAAATTCCTGCACCATGGTCACATAGATTAAAACATCTTCTAAATGATCTGGCTCTGTTATTGAAACACCTGTTCTTTTTTACCAAACTGACATAGTGGCTACAAATGTTCAAAATTCAGTCGCTCTCAACAGACTCTATGATCTAGGAGCCCAAACAATTTATTTAACATTTGTTCTTTTATTTTAGCATATGCATCTCCAGCATATTGCAGTTTTATTTATAATATAACTCAGGTTTAAGGAAACTATTCTGACATAAGATTAACCTGATGAATAGGGCTGGTAATCATGCAGTATGCAAACAACTAAGGAGAGTGTAAAAAGTGGCTTTAACCAATTCTATTTGTTTATTATACAACTGCCACTAAACTCTCCTCTATTTCACTTCTCAGTGCTCTTTCATTATATCAGGGTATAAAGATGCAACAACAAACTGGTAAATAGCCTTCTTTTCTGCCCCTCATTTTGAACACCAAATACACTCAGGTAAAAATTCCTAATGGGCCAGCAGAAATTTCAACTGGTCCCTACTGGAAACCACCTGGTCCCAACTGAGAATCAACTGGTCCCAACTGGGAATCAACTATCTGGTTGGTCCCTCACCCCACAGTCATTTGCGCCGTCTCCACACATTCCGACGACATAGCTGGAAAAAGAATAAATGTAGATATAGTCACTCTTACATACATAGTGTATTAATTAACTGAGAAAGAATCAGCTATGAACACTCACCCCAGCTGCTGCAAATGCTGCACCAACTGCATTTTCTGGTCTGGCAACATGCGTGCAAACACGGTTCCCCTCACCAGCAGCTGCATCACAATTTGTCAAATTAAAGCCGACTGAAACGGAAGCTCATGTCACGTCCAGCATGTGCTACTAATTAGGCGTACCATACGTTGCCAAGACATAATTATTTCCATGTTTGATTTGTTAAAAGTCATACGATGGGTAAGGCGAGGATTTTAATGAAAGCCTCGCAAATGCACCTCTTCCCAAAAACCAACTATATTTTATGCCATATTAATGCGAAGCATGTAGCTTACGCTTCACACTTCTGGGTTTGCTGAACGTAAGGAACAATTCAAATGGCCATTTGGTTTCATTGAAAGCATGCACCTATTAATGGTTAACAAAACAGACCGCAGTATGACTACATTCTTTCCATGGTATGTATAATATAAGCTCTACAATAAGCTTATTGTGACCGCAGGCTTTAGATGCCAGTCACTGTTTGGTTTGTAGCCTTTTTCTTTCACTATAGACCAACACGCGGCTCTGACGTCACGCAGCTGCGGTGGCACTGTCGACGGCACTGCGCATGCACAGACACATCACTCCACATGAATTCGGTTTCAGCGCACGCGCAGTGCCCACACCTGGTGTGAGCAAACGCGGGCTTGTTTGTAAACAGCGTGTCGGTCTATAAGCAAGTTTGGGACAAGCGGTCCAAGCGCACACAACAAGATGTAGCACAATATGCAACCTGAAAGCAAATACTGACATATTTCACATCCATCGTCCTTAGTGAAATTTTGAGGACATTATTCTAAGTGGAATTGGTACAGTAGTCAACGAAACAAGATGGACCAATTGTGCATGGCCTCATTAGAGTAACTGCATATGTTCTGTTTCAGGACCATATACACTTATATGGTTCTGCCATTTAGTTGCTCTACACTTTGCCAGAGTAATTGAGTATCTGCGAGGTTACATGCTCCTGTGGGCCATTTCGTTTTGTTGGGCACTGTACACATTAGTGATGTCTACACAATTTATAGTCACACATGTGAAAGCTCATATTATATCCTTGTCATATTCAAGTTCGAGTTATGTACAGTTTTTGCAAACAGAAGCGTTACTAGAGGTTGTGTCTTTGTGCCCGAGATGGGACAACAAAAGTATTGACTTCTGAGACAGAATTACCGCACCTTCTCAAAAATGTCCGGAAAATGATGTCGAATGATGGCAAAGGAGCGCCCATCCACAGCAAACTGGAAATTGGAATTCTCCTCCATTTCAATATATTTGTCCGCCTGTAAAAGAAAAGAAAAACGGCACCTGTGACTTATTTTATGGTAGGAAAATGTAGGCAATGTGCTTTGTTTTATAAATGAAAGAATTGTATTACTACAGTTAAAACTCTAGTTTCAGCACTCAATATTTGAAAAGAAAGTTATACTGTCAACGACTTAATTTTCGCGAGGGCCTAACTTTTGCAAACTTTGAATTAAAAATGTCACAAAAATGGAAGCCGTTTACAACTCCCTGTAACGCCGATTTAGAGCGCAGCTCTTGAGGAGGAGGAGGGAAGGGTACTGGGGGGGGGGTGGGTCAAGTGACCTCGGGGGGCGGGAAGTCACGTGACCTTGGGGGTCACGTGACCTTGTGGGAGTCACGTGACCTTGGGGCGTCACGTGATGTCGGGGGGGGGGGGGGGGGTCACGTGACCTGGGGCCACGTGACGATGCCGATGGCGTCACTGATGACGTCATCAGTGGCTATGACGTCAACGGGTGGTCACATGACCTCGGGGGGTATCCCCAGGTCACGTGACCCCCCCCCCCCCCCCCCCCCCCCGGGGTCACGTGACCTGGGTAACCATCGTGACCCTCGTGAGGGTAACCCTAGTAACCCTCGTGAGGGCAACTCTCGTGACCCTCGTGAGGGTAACTCTCGTGACCCTCGTGAGGGTAACTCTCGTGACCCTCGTGAGGGTAACTCTCATAACCCTCGTGAGGGTAACCTTCGTGAAGGTAACCCTTTTGAGGGTAAGTAACCCTCGTGGAGGGTAACCCTCGTGAAGGTAACCCTTTTGAGGGTAACTAACCCTCGTAACCCTCGTGAGGGTTACGAGGGTAAGTAACCCTCGTGAGGGTAACCCTCGTGAAGGTAACCCTTTTGAGGGTAACTAACCTCGTGAGGGTTACGAGGGTAAGTAACCCTCGTGAGGGTAACCCTCGTGAAGGTAACCCTTTTGAGGGTAACTAACCTCGTGAGGGTTACGAGGGTAAGTAACCCTCGTGGCCCTCGTAACCCTCACGAGGGTTACGAGAGTTGCGGTTACGCCGACGCCGACGCCGCTCAAGCCGGGAACGGGCCCCTAAGAGCTGCGCTCTAAAAAGATATCCTGGGAATATATTACCCTAAGGTAACTAATTCGTAGCATACCACACCCAATCACAAAATTTTTGTATCAGCAATACACCTAAAGTTCACATTCTGCCAAATTCACAAAAATATTGAGCCCACGAAAAGAAAGTTGTTTACAGTACCAATTGTTTTCAGAATGAATTGTATTTTATTACAAGACAGACAAAATATTATGAAATGTGTAATGGAGAGAGGGCATGTCATGGGGGGAGGGTTTAGGAGCCTGCTGATTGAAGTCTAACCCCATATTACAATACAGTAGTATGTATTATATAAAGCCTAAAACCTTGACATTAGCAATCAATATATCAATGCTTGCACTAAAAAGCTGGTTTTGTTTATGGAAGCAATAGGCTGAAAAAAAAAAGAAAAAAGGGAGGAACTATGACACAACCATGTTAATACTGCAACAGGTCAAAAGCTAATGTCAAGCAATTGAAATATTTCTGGACTTTGACTCCGTTATCCCATAAAGCATAAAACTGCAGCCCACATGAAAAATCAGAAATCACACACATATAGCTGGCTTAGATTGGAACTTCAAACCAAGCTTGCGTTCCATAGTATGAATTAAAAAAGAGGCCACATCTCCACGTGGTGAATGATGTTGATTGGGGCGAAGCTCTGGTGGTGCTGATGATACTGATTTTATTGTTCATAGGTAGTGGTGATGGTGCTGATTTTTTTTATTGCTCATAAGTAGTGCTGAGTTCCAGGTTGCGTTTCGACTTCATTATTACTGCTTTATGTTCGGTGCAATGCAGAGCCAGTGGTTCTTCTAGCGGATCAGCTTCGATCCACTAGAAGCCGTTGGAACGCATCTCCACCGCTTAAATCAACGGTCCATGTCAGAAAGAGAATGCGTGGTATGGATCGTGGTTATATACGCAGTTGAGCATTTGACCGCAGCGCCCTCTCATCTGTAAACGTTGAGCCAATGCATGCAAAGTTTAACGCGATTATATACGCAATTGACCAGGCAGTGCAATCGATGTGAGCACGGACACCGGACGGATGGACAAGGCTAGATCCTCAGGAGCTTTGCCCCTAAAACAAGTGTTATTGTGTGACAGTCAGGAAAATATGCATGCCCTGAAGCTCCTGCTACTGTTGATTTCATCAGCACGGCAGGCTTCTTCGAACTCCAACGTTGCCATGGATGACCCTGGGTTGATGCTCGCCTTGATGACCACCACCCGGACTGTGCTCGCAATCATGTCGCAGTCTCTCGCTACGCTGATGGCAGTCCACAAGTTGTCACCTGCAACGCATCATCACAATTAACAATAGCTTATAGTAAGGGACAGAAATGTTTATACATGGCACAGCTTATACGTAGCTTACACATAGCATTATCGAAGGTAGGACGCTCGTGCTGGAGTGAAACAACTGAATTCCTGCTATTCTTATCCAGTCAGTGAATACATGTTGGCATTGGGAAAGGGTTTTCTCCGTAAGCATGCATGTATAGAGAAGGGACATGCCGAATTTGGGACTGTCGTTTCGCTATACTATGAATTGCTGACAGGGACAAAGTTGATCAGCCAAAAATCAGCTCTGCCTTCTTGACAAGCATTTTTGCTTCGTAAGCTCCTTTGCCATACTGGCTCGTATAGTCTCGGCTTCATTTCCGAGTGGAATTGGGATGTAAAAAAATTTGAATATAGTAATGCAATTTGATGCATTATCGGCATGGTCGTCCAAACTACTGTTCAGGCTAATAGCGCTTCTATGTCTATTCTAATGCTAGTGCTTACCAGTGACCATGAGACAACGGATGCAAGCGTTGTGGAGAGTGTGAATCACCGGGGTTGACTCTAGCTTGAGCATGTTTTGCATGATGAGGAATCCAAGGAATGTCAGGTTGCATTCCACCTGGTCTCTGTAATAAAGCCACTTAGAGATCTAAAATCGACTAAGTCACACATGGTGGTGGGCTTGGTGGTGGCAAGCCATGTAGGTTTGCCACCACCAAGATTTAGTAAGCAATATACATATAATGGACTAATAAAATTACTGCATATTGGGAAGATCGAACTACTATAGGGGGCGCTTTATTGAGCTTGTTGTCCCCACAGCCCGGTGTTTACTAACACAGCATAACAAAGAAATTGAACCTCGCCTAGCACAGTGTGGGCACGAGCGTTTCGCTCTGACCGGTGCTTCGGTCGCACAAGGGGCGGCCTTCAAATCGTCATCTTCGATTTCTCGGATCAAAAACAAACAATAAAATATGGTTTGTTGTCCCCTCAGCTGAAGCATAGTCCTATAGGCGTGACTGTTCAATCTCCTCCCCAAGAGCAATTCTTGCACGACAACAGTCAAAGGAAACTTTACCCTTTTAAGGTTGAGTTTCCTTTCAAGAATTTCCTCATATCTTGTGGTTTTCTTTTATAGGAAAATGCTACTACCCCTTTTAAAGTTTGTCCCTGTCGCTAAAATGTTTTGTTTAACTACAGTGTGTCACCGGGAAAAGTTTGTGTTTTTCACCACAAAAATAAACTGTGCATCGGCGAATGCTCAGTCTCCACCCAAATATAGCACTAGCAGTCTGGACTAGACGTTACAGCTTCAGAGCTAACTGTTATCTTACCGTAAAATCCCGAAAGATGCCTCACCCCCAAAAGGTAACCTGCCCCCTATGTTTGGCTTGATTTGCTACTTTTTTTGAAACACTGAAAGATAGCCCACTCCTAGTAATCAGAGTGCTGGAATCAATGATGACCTCGGCGTAAATGCGTCTAGTTAGCTATGGCGGGATATAAGCGAACATTGCTGACTGGGAAGCACAGTCATTTTTGCTTCATTGCCTCTCGTTGCAATCAGTCTGACAGGGACACATGATCGAAAAATATAATTTTTTCAACTTTCCTTGATTGCACATTGAAAGTTATCCCACTCCCTATTTTCACCAAACTTTCTCTCGATTTAGGTGGGCTATCTCTCAGTATATTACGGTATAGTCAAAAGTTACGTGATTTTTCTGAAAATCTTAATGGGAAAATGGGGCCTGTTCCCTTTTGTAGCCGACGCCAATCAGCTCCACATATTCGCGGGCTTTGTCAGCCACCAGTTCTCACTGAAACTTTCCAAAGATTGCTTGCAACTTGTAATGGGCAGCTCTCAAGTTTTAACTTATGGCCCAGACCGCTAGTGCTATATTTGAGTGAATACAGAATTTGGCAAGGTATGGTTTAATTTTGTGGTGAAAAAAAAAACTTTTTTTTTTTGGGGGGTGTTTTGTAATAGTATTTTACTGCAGAATTAGGATATCCGGTTTCAATCAGCACTATATTTTTGTGTGAACATTTCGTTATGTTGGAGCCGTGGCTGATGGATAGGTGGGCACATGTTTTAAAAATCTTTTGACACTTTTCGCAATATTTTTCTGACATTGCATTCTTTTCATTTTGTGGTGGCAGTAATTTGGCAGATATGACGCTTGTATCACGTGCAAGTTTGTTGCTATCCTCGATAAACATTTTTTTTTGTGTGTGACCAACTTCTAGTTTGTGGTTTAGAAAATAGAACAGATAAGTAGCTTTTAATTTTATGAACTTTCGAAAATATTTTGGTATATAATGTTTATGGCACTTTTCAAAAATATATTCATTTGGTGAGTCAGTCTTTCAAAATGTCGGGGACAATGAAAAGTCAAATGAAAATCTTATATTTCAGTCATAGATAACAATTTATTTGTCAGCATGAAAAAGCTCCCATTTCATGCGATGCTTTCCTGCATCATAAGGTGTCACGTTACACTACTTCAGTCTTGATGCAGGAAGTTTGGAGATTTAGCTGAATCATCCTTTTTCTGCCCGGAAAAACAGAAAAAAAAAGGAAAACTGTCCAACAACAATATTTCTCGATTGAGACACCTTACTGCTGTGTTGTGGCAAAAGGAATTTGGGAAGAGACAAAGGTCCCATCTTATACATTTCCCCGGACATCACAATAAGCCCCTTTCTCAAAGGTCTCCGACAGGTGCATTCTAAGCGAGGTATGGGCGATGAAAGTGCCACAACAGGCACGTAGCCAGGCTTTTGATAACCGGGGGGGGGGGGGGGGGGGGGGGGGGCTTATGACAAAATGCTGTATGAGGGGAAGAGGGGAGAGGAGGCCCCAGCAAAATGGAAGATTTGGCCGGGGGGGGGGGGGGGGGGGGGAGGAGAGGAGGAGCGGCTGGGGGGAGGGTCCAGGCCCCATGCCCCCCACCCCTGAATATGTGCCTGTGCCACAACAAAGGGTCGGACATGAAGCCAAGATAGCGCACTTGCCTCCCAACTCGCTGCACATGGTGCCATGTGAGCTTTTTCTCGAGCGGACGGTATGCAAGGGCCATGACACGGAAGCCTTGCAGAGTGTACCCTCGAAGCACGTCGAAGTAGTTCTCGGGTACTGCGAAGCAAAATGGGGAAGTCGTCGATTAGGAAGAGCAGCACCAAAACGGAAAAGGAGAGTGTGAAACAAATTATGAACGACAAAGGAGTGGGCTGTAAATGTCAACGTTGGGATGTAAACAGGCTAAATTAAATTATAGTATTTAACAAAAATTTTAGATGTAATTCAAAATCACTGGAATTAAACATGCAGTTACTCCTAGTAATTGAATCTTGTTTAAAAATTGATACCATAAGCATATGATGCTTGAAGTGCTGAGCATAAAATGTAGGTTTTACAATGACAGATGTCGTGAATTTATTAACTTTCTAGTTAATAAATTTAGAGGAAAATTCATTCTTTCTATTGGCCTCGAGATCGACCTAGAGGTGGCGTTACGGTCGCGCTATCATCATCATCAAAGCGGGGATAGGAGAACGGCCGCCCCATAGGCTCTCCACGTTCGCGCGCGAGACGGCGTAGATTCTTGCGTTTATTTTGTCGCATACTATCGCTGGGAAAACAATTCTAGCGGAAAAAGATGCAGAACTGTTCGGTGCTTCAGTGAAGATCGAATCGGTGTTACCAGCGTGCGGCCCAAATTTATATAATCGCTTCTGTGGGCGCGTCGCCTGCTCTAGGCAGACGTTGGAAAGCATGGATCACCACGACTAATGCCTGTCTCCGGCTGAACTGGAATATTTATGTTAAATATTTGTTTCTTTTAAAATGAATGTATCGGTTCATCAACGTGGGAATAAAAAAAAAAATTCCAACCCAGATAACATAATACTGGTACTGTGAAATCGCAGTTTCTATGCTTTTTTTAACGTCTACCTTTTGCAGTAATATAAATATTTAGAATGAAGATAAGTTAGCGCTGTATTGGAAATTACCATGCTATTGAGTTCCTCTGCCCTTTTACTGTGCCATAGTGTGGGTAACTGTTTTGGAGTCTGAACAAATCTACTGCGTTGCAATGAGGAGAGAGTGTCTCTTGTTAAAATCTGCAAACTGCACGGTTAGCAGGACAACTGAAGCAAGTGAAACAAACTGTTCTAATATATATGCCGTGACTGTAATAAACGAGTGTAACCGAGCAACGCAGCAATGTTCCTATTATTAAATGCTTTTCTCGGTAGTGTGGGTTCACCCGCTTCGATTTTCTTGATCAGGGCCGCGGATGTCAAGAGGCTTATACTATACATTTCTGGCTAAATAATCTTGCATTCAAACACGGTAGACTATGCAACCCAAACAAACGACGCGCATTACGACACAGACAGAATCGGCCGCAGTGATACTCTTTTACTGATGAGGGCTAGCGACCTTCACGAGACTTTTCGATCACCCTCCGCCCTCACCTGACGTATATCGGGACTGGGCAGTTCAACGATTAACTTTCAGATTATTCGAGTAATGCTTTAATTGCAATTTTTTTGCCGGTCAATTGGAGTCTTGCGCTGGAAAAAGTCAACAAGGACTAAAATATGCCTGCTGTAATATTTTTGACGTCTTTACTTCTTTTGTGACACCGGCTTGCACGGTAAACCACTTCAGCGTGGTTTGCCGTTTATCGTTTCGCCGAGGGTGATTATGCTGTTTGAATAATAACTTAAAAAATACTTCATTTTAAAAGGCTTCCCGTGTTCATATTTATGTAGGACTCACAACGTGAAGTTTAGAATGGGAATACAATATGCCATTTATGACATAGTAAAACCAGTAAAACAATGTGTAGTTTTAACGTCTTTCACGCAATATGACCGGGGCAAAATCAACGTACGGATTTATTGATTGATTAGTCCATGGAAGGATAGCGATCAGTCGGGTTAATTTTCTAATAAAACCACGGACCCACTGAACATTCAATGCTTTATGAAAGCCGCGGTTTGTGCGAGATAATAAAAATACGTGGGACCAGCGATTGTATAAAAAACAACACACTAAGATTATGGAAGCTTCTGACTTAATAATAATCGCTTTGCTGAATTTCTACGCATGGCAAACGATACAACACAACCTTTAGTAAGAAGAAACGGCAACAAAAACATAAAACATTTAATCAGGAATGTCAAGCTCAGCCTAAATCGGGCTTGCGTCGTCGAGATCCGTGCTTCTGAGCGCGCGCCCGTAGCAGACGACGCACGGCGGTATCCCCACATTGGCGCGTTTCCAATTTCGGCCGCATGGTGGCGGCACGGTTCGATCTCGAGGCGAATATAGAAAATAGACCTTTTTCACAAGGGCACCACCATCTTGAAGTGTCGTCACTTCCAGTGTAAGTGGAAACATTGCTTTGCCGTCGCCACGCCAACTGAAGACAGTCAGGATATAAGCGTAACCGTCGCACATTCTCGTTTTGCCTCCCCTCTGTTTTCTAACTATTTACAGGTTGAAATGTTTTATTCTTTTTTCGTATACGCCTATTACGTGGCTGGGGGCGAGAGTACACAGAAAAGGTCTATAGTCTCCTACAAAACTCCCTGCTCCCCGTGATTGCTTGTGTCCTCCAGCATTTGCTCTGCTGGAAGGAGTGGAGGGCTTTGTGGGAGGAGCTTGTGCTGCTTTTCTTACCCTGCAACAGGCTACAATATGTTATTAGACATGTCAAATATTGAAAGCCGTTTAATGTTGATTCCAATAAAAGCACATTTGATCCTTCTTTAAAGCGCAACTCGGGTCAATATTTCTCAATTTGGGATTATGACTGTTTTCAGCTAAAGCAGTGCCCCTGAATTACAAGGTACAATTTTTTTTTAAATATTGTGTGTAGTTTTATAGATATCGCGGGTCTAAGTTTTATAGCGGCCGTCTAAGGCAAAACTGAAACTATCTGCTACAGGGATGGCAACACTGATCAGTCATACGGCCGCGACGTGACATCCCAAGGGTGCTGTGGTATGCGGTACAACCAATCAACTGCAGCTCCACCTTGCGTTATGTCAAGTGTTCTTTGACTAAAAGCTAACCGCTTGCCGTCTGCTTGCCGCCCGCTAAAGAGCAGCTGGTCACATCTTTAAAATCAGTTTTTGGTGGAGTCCACGACTTCACTTTGACGTAATATTTCAGCTGTGATCATATTTCGTGTCACTAAAGCCATAGCAGTCATTTATTTTGGTTCCGTTTTCGACCAGAGTTGCCCTTTAAGACTAAAATATCTAAAATAATTCTAAGATTTTGGTGTGTTTTTTCTTGACTAAAGCTTGTTACAAAAAAGCAACATAATCTGTCGATTGTGCTCCTTTCGCAATTGTAGGGCACTGTGGCCACGTAAAGCCACTGTGGCTGATATAGTGAAAAACAGCGCAAAAAAAAACGGGACACAAAGTAGAAGATGAACACCGGACACACTGAAACTTCCACCCGCACACTTTGGCACGTGCAAGTGCATGCTCTTCTTTTTCTTTTGACAGAGATAAATGTGAATAAAGAGAAAAAAGAAAAAGAAAATTTGAAAAAAAAAAAAAAGAATGAAAAGAAAGAAAAATCTACAGCGGCACAAGAAAACCCTAGGCCCAAATGATGCGTTTGAACCACGATTAGGACCATATCGGGACATTGGGAAATGTGTAAAGCTGTGGTAGGGTCTACTTGGGACAGACCAGTCGTTGTTTGAAGGATAGACTGCGTGAGCACGCGGCTTCACTCGTCAGTGGCCACGGTTCACATTTACCTATACACTGCAGGGAGTGCAGGCGTTCCCTTGCGTTGGACACCACCCAGGTGGTGGGACGCAAGAGAGGCAAGCAGGAGAGATCATGGAAGCAGTGCATATACTTGCCTGTGGACCAGATCACTGCTTCAGTGTCGCGTCAGTACATCTGAGGAACAAGGAACTACAATTTCTCAATTGTGTCCGTCCTTAGTATAGTGTCACACGCGATCTGTAAAGGTAAAAAATGTGTCCTGAATGTGGTGCGAATGTGGTGTGAATGCAGCACATGAGCTTAATATTTTCTCGTGCCAATGACAAAACAAAACAAATTTTTTTTTTTTTTTTTGCACATTTTTGGACGTTTTAATATGGTCCTAATTGTGGTGCAAACACACCATTCAGACCAAGGGTTTTCTTGTGCCGCTGTAGATTTTTCTTCTCACATTCTTTTTTTCAAATTTTCCTTTTCTTTTTTTCTCTTTATTTAAATTTATCTCTGTCGAAAGAAGAAGAGCATGTACTTGAGCGTGCCACTGTGCGCGCAAGGAAGTTCCGGTAAACCTTCGGTTGTAGTCAGCGTATGTCCTGTGTCCGTCTTTGACTTTGTGTCTTGTCTTTTTTGCGCTGTTTTTCACTATATCGTTCAACCAACCAGCCCAGCAATCCACCCTGTTTCAGTCCATTATGGCTGTCCTGTGGGTCTCACTTTCCTGCAAGGCAGCAGCACGTGGTTAGAGTTGCACTGATTTCAAGTTACCTAGCAGTTATTATTCCATGTTTCCATCGGGGCGAGTGCAGTTGGAAAGTATTCTGATACCCTAGAGTTATAGTGCCTGCTTTTCAAGGCCAGTGCAACACTAGTAAATGTTCCAGCACAAACTTAATAGTTCATGCATGCTTCAAGCTCGTTCAACTCCAGATAATGTTCAAAAGTATATATAATTGTTGAAGCATGCAATGGAAATGACAACTGGAACAGTCATTTCTGTCTTTCTAAAGTTGTTGGGGACTACAATAAACAATCAACAAGTGCAGGATTTTCTCCAGTCTTCCGCTCTGGTCAACAGTAGCAGTTTTGGAAAACATTGATAAAAATGTGGAACAACTTTTCCAACTGTAGCACATTGATGCAAATCAGTATATAATGCTTTCTGGATTGCAGTGCAGGGTAACCTGTCACGAAGCCACCGAGGCATTGCATTACAAGCCTCAAGCCGTTCTTCACCTACTTTGCCCGCCTGTCATGAAATGCCCTAAAACAACGTTACAGCATGCATCACTATGGCACTATACTCTGTTCGCCCCTAAGCCGACATAACAGTGAACGCCACATGTTCGTTGGGCCAGTCATACGTTTCTTTTTCGCCGTGTCACCACACTGTTGCCCCCTACCCACACGCGGAGAGTAAGGCTAGGTGATGAAAGAGAGGTGGTTGCATCAGAATTAATTGGGGGGCTAGTTGGTTGAACATCTAGACGGTGGTATTGAAAGCGCAAAAGACTGAGAAGAGAAGGAGGGGACAGGACAGAGCGCTCTGTCCTGTCCCCTCCTTCTCTTCTCAGTCTTTTGCGCTTTCAAAACCACCGTCGAAAGGTGGTTGGTTGGTCGAGCGAGCACTGCATTGCCAGCTTAGGGTGAACAAAGTATGATGAGGTCGCACTGGCTTCGTTTTAGAAATGGGAGTGTTGAGTGCTGTCCAAAAGATGTGGGCCATGCAGCTAGGAAAGATGTGCACACCTGTTGTCGGGTCGCAGAGGGAGTGTATCATCTCGGGGGCCCCCTTGGCATAGAGGTCCATGTAGCGTCTGCCCAGAGTGCGGCACACGACGCTCATCCTCTGCAGCGTCGAGGTGAAGGGGAACTGCCGCACGATGCCAACCTCGTAGGGAACCTGCAGCAGGAACATAGTGGTACCATAAAGGCAATCGTGGAAAATATGGGGACGGGTGCTTGGCCTGAGAGCAGAAAAGCAGAAGGGGCATATCGAAGGGTAGGCCTCCGTTTGATCTGACAATATGGCATAGGGGCATTAAAGTGGCACTCTTGTCAGGCCAGCTACGCGCCGGTGCTCTTGCATCAAGCTATACCATTTTGCACCGCTTTGCACCAGCTTTTCGTGGAGTTAGCCGACGTAAAGGAGAACCTCGGTTAACTCGGTGGGCCCGGACGTTTGCTGGGATGGGCTCTTTGGTATGTCCTTTGCCCATATATTTTAGCGTTTCAAGAGTAGGTGGTCACTTATTGCGATATGGGCACATGACTGGTATTTTGTGGTATTGTGCCACCCCTGGGCAGCATCTGAGCTGCACAAGTGGTGTTGCTGGCAGTGCCGCTTATTTGTATACTGTTCAGCCCAATCATTTTGTATGCCGCAACAATGTGGATAACCTCTTTTTCCAGGACTATGTTAAAATGTGGTTGTTTGAATGTAACGAATCACTGGAATGCAACCATTATGCCCTTGTCCCACTAGAGCGACAGACAGAGACAAAAGACAGCGACAAGCCTCAAATCCATGCAGCATGCTTGCGATGGTACCTTTGGCAGGCGTTTAGTCGTTCGGTGCTCGTGAAGTAAGCACGAGCGATGGCAAGCCTGATAAAGCCACCCTCCCGTGCACAATTCTCGTGTTTGAGCATAGTCTCCTTTATTCTACAGAACCTCTCAAATCGCGAAAGACTCTGGTTTGAGGCTTGTCGTTGTCTTTCGTTTCTGTATGTCGCTCTGGTGGGACACGGGCATTAGAAACCTTGAAAGACACTCGGACATAAAAAAGCGTACGCAGGAGTGAAATTGCCTCCAATGATGAGTATATTTTAGGGTCTGTGATACAACGATTATGTATGAAATAAATGACAAAAAGTGATCCTGCATATACAAACCAGGGTGTGTTATATGTAGGGTTTCATGTTTTCGGATAAATCCGAAAAACTCTGAAAAACACCTGCCAGTAGAATTTCGGTCAATTCGGATTTACGAATTTTTATGTGCCACTGCTACCCCCCGCCAAAATATAAAAAAAAAACAGTAAAACTTTTTTTTTCTTTTTTTTACAATTTGAGCAGTGCAGGGTCAATGGTCCTGGGAAAATGCCACCACAGTTATCTTTCAAATCTCGGACCGTTGTCAAAAGGGGTCTTACCACTTGTCTCGTCAAGGTTGATTCAAGGCAAGAGGTCATCGTATCATTCAGGTCACGACAAAAGCCACTCTTTTTGGTTTGCAGTTTGGGTCATGCGACTTGTGATTTAGAGCAAGGAGAGGCTATGCTTTTGTAAAAGTGTATGGACCATAGAGATTATATAAAATAGGAAAAAGAGGCAGTTGAAACTTCTCTATTACATCCTTAACCACTCCACCTCGTACGGCCGCGGGCTAGATTGATGGAATAGGATGGGATGACTACGAGCTTCCTAGCGACCATCTCCGGGAGTTCATTGATTTTAAGGCATAGACGTTTATCGAAGCAACACCTGTGTGCGTCTTTTGTCGTGGGACAAAGTAGTATTGCTAATGGCAGTGGCACCAACGCCAAATTCAAGTGCAAGACTTTTAATTGGTACAAGTGCTTTTTATTTTTTATTTGGCTTACATTTACGTCCGGTTATTATTTATATATTTATTTTTAATAAGAAACACTGCAAAATTAAACTCCAAATTTTGGAGAATTGGGAATCAAACAAATTTTAAATTAGAATCTTCAGCAAACAATAAACTCCGAAAAACACCCTCTAATTTTGACAAAAAATAAACTCCGAAAACACGGAACCCTAGTTATGTGTTACAACCTTTCTTGGCCCTTCTAATATCAACAAAGCTGGGAATGAATGCACTGATACAGGCCAATGGGCTTCTTCTACTGAAGTTTGCTGATTAACCTTGATGAGAGAATGCCTTCTGGAGATACTACTATAGTCATTGGCTTTGGTAGAAAAGATGTTATTAGTCTTGAATGGAGAGAAGCTGAGATGCTAAAGGCATATAGCTTGATAGCAATGGCGTGGTTATAAAAGGAGAGTTTTAATAGTCATAACTTGTTTTAGAGCACCATGGGCTCAACACGCTGCATGTAAACAACAGCTGGTCAACAACTGATATTTTTTTTAATTGCTAGATATGCACGGATATGTAAACATTTAGAAGATTGATAGGAACTTACTATTACTTCAAGACATAAACACATAACAGCCTTTAAGAATATCAAACTTTTCTTTTATGTTTGTGTCAGCATTGAGCTCTAGGAAAAGAATGCACGAATAAGTGTACTATCGGAGAAAAATGAAATATTTTTCATGAAATAGAGGAGGGCGTGCCTTTCGGTACAGGCTGCGCCGCCTAGAGGTGAGCCTAGGGGTGAGGGCGTGTGGCTTACTCCGATATGTACATACTCCCCTCGCTTGGCGCTTTCCGAGCTTCGACACTGTGTCTCTTGGTGCGCTTAAAGCTATCATCGCTATCGTTGCTCGCTCGACGCGTGCGGTGCGAGGAAGCTCACTGCTAGTAGTAGCTTGCGTGCATGCTGGCTGAGTGCGCGCGCAAGCAGCGAGTTTTTTTGCGCGGCATGCGTCGAGCAAGCAACGATAGCGTGGATAGCTTTCAGCGCACCAAGAGGCGCAGTGCCGAAGCTTGGAAAGTGCCGAGCGAGGGGGTGTATACACATCGGAGTAGGTCACACACCCTTGCCCCTAGGCTTACTTCCAGGCGGCGCAGCCTGTACCGAGAGCAACGCGCTCCTCTGTTTGCACTTCATTTTTTCCCGATAGTACATGTCTATATTTGTCTCTATTTGTTTTGCTTTTTCATTTCTGACATGTTCAAATTTTAATCTGAAGGGCCATATTAGCTCCACTGAGTATGCTTCCTACAAGACTAGGGTGTACTGCAGCAAAGCAGCCCCTCCGACGATGGTTTCGCGAGCACGGCATAATCGTGTGTAAAAAAAACAAAAAAAACCCCCACTTTTAAAGATTTTTTTGCAGATACAATTTTAAAAAAGTTAATTGTGGTGATTTACTAATGTTACAGTTCAGAAGTTATTTTTTTAGTCAGCAAGCGTTGCACCGTAGCACTTCATGCACCTTTATAAAAACTGGCAGTGTCAGCCGTAGCACTTCATGCACCTTTATAAAAACTGGCAGTGTCAAACGTTTTATTTCACTTTCTTACATATGCACACACATCATTAAGTCCTATCCACATCTCGATTAAGTCACATATTATCGATAATGCGTGTTACACATTATCATGCATTAGACACAAGAAAGTATATGATCGTCGAAAATAGTGAACATGCCTCCTCTATCTCCACGTCTTCGGAGTCACCGGGTCTCGTTGTCACATCAGTGGCTTGAGCCGCAGGCCCTCGGCCAACGGGCTCTGTGAGTAGCTGTCAAGATTCACATTTTTTACAAATGTCGATTTTCAATATCACATCGAATACCTTTTTAATAATTCAGACGAGAGTGAAAATCACTTATGCATTACCTACAAAGTGAGCTCATTTTAAGCACGTTAGTCAAATGAAAGCTCGCACTGCTAAACATTTTTAATCACTTTCTTTGAAAGAAAATTTCACTGCTTGTTTGTAGCTAGAGTCACTGACAGCCAAAGAACTGCAGGGTATGGCTAGTTCTAAGCATCCGATTATCGCTTGGCAGCCAATGAGACTGCGGCATTAGCCAACAAGAACGACGAATCACAAAGAAGGAAGCCTCTAGATTAACAAGTGAGGTGCTGTGTTTCCTAAGCCATGAGTGACTGTAGGAGTAGGCCAGTTGCACTTACCCAGGAGAAAACATTTAACTCAATAGAAAACTGGTGCAGTCACACAAGATGGGGAAAAAGCGAGTGAGAGGGATGTGAGGGAAAGGAGGCTTCCACCGTGCACCTGAGGGGGAATGAAGACGAGAGGAGTCTGGTGCAGGAATGCAAGGCGGGCCTTCCGTGCAGGAGGGGGCTTCACAACGGTTGGGGTGAGGACGTCGTAGCGGTTCGAGGCCGCACCGGGCTCCTCAATGTCCTTGGGGTTGGGGGTGGGGCCGGTAGGGAGGAAAAATGGGATAGGTCAGGTATCGCAATTCCTCGTCCAATCCCAAGTAAAAATTGGTCTAGCTGGAGCTTAATTATGAAACGGGTTCCGGCTGAAAATGATCATTAATCTATTGAAATGAATCTAGCTGGGACCAGTTTCATAATTCAGCACCAGGCGAACAAATTTTTATGCAAGAAGTGACCTTGCAAGACCGTGAGCTTGTCGAATCCTGGGAAACGCAATTATTGGTGAGCAAAGCGACGCTTTTTTTACTGAGACAAATGCTTTACTGAATATTTAAACCACGTTTTTTTCTGTGAAAAAAGGTAATTCCATTATAGCAGTTATAGAGAGGCTGTCTTCACTTGCTGTAACAGGTTATGCCTTTATTGCACGTGACCTCATCAGCAGTAGGGGTTTTGAAAACCTACTGGGGCCCTAGACGTATCAGAAACAAAGTTGGGGCCGAAACGTATGGAGCGCCGATTGGACTTTCGCGACAATGACGCTGCGCTTTTGTTGCAAATGTCTCATCGGTGCGCTTTGCAAACTTTCAGTTCCAACTTCTGTGCTTGACGGATCTACAGCCCCTGAAGTTTTGCACTATATGATGCCATAATATTTGGACTAATGTATTTAAAAAGTTATTGACAACCATGGCACTAGATGCACCATGTTGAGGTGTGTAAGACAATAAATAAGCACCTCATTTATTCATTTCAGACATATGCAAGATTAGAGCAACTATGTGGATTGCCCTTATTTTATCCATGTTGCTTCAAGCAACAAACTCTGGGTAGTGCTGAAGCCCACCAACTTGTGCCCGAGGTTTGTGTTGAAAACCAGATGGCCATTCCACTTACCCACTTGGTTGCCCGAAACATGCTGAGGTCAACAGGATCGCCAACTAGTTTCCCGTCGACCGTAGTTAGTGTGTGGCATGTTGCCATGGAGACAAGCAAAGGGCTTCGTGCAGGCAGCTGGGTCGGATCTCCTACAGGTGCCATGAAGCTGAAGCGGAACATGGTGTATGTTAAGAATGGCTTTTAGCATGGTACATGTTATCAATGTGAAACATTTTTTGGCTAGGTGTTTGGCATTTTGTGAAGCGCAAAAGTGAAGCCTGGATGAAAGCGTGGCTGCGAGGCTCAACGCAGATTGGTAGGCAGTAAAAAAGTGTTTGTGCCGGGCGGATATCGAACCTGGACCACTTAGACTATTAAGCGAGTATCTTTCCAGCATGTCACGACACAGTGCCGCGAGTTGAGATTCTATTTGGCGGAAAGCCCTGCGGGGCATCTGTTCTATGTCCGGTGGATGGCAACTCGACACCCTGTCACAAATTTTTAAAACCCGGGTCGGCGCCGGTATCTCCATTGCAGGGATTGCTATTGAGTGTACATGCCACGCTTTATTCCAGTCGCTAAACTAACCGATGAAGAGTGCCAAGAGTGTAGACTCCACACGTTTCATGTGCAACACAATTGCCCAGCAATTTGTTATGCACTTTTTTGTGTTGATAATATAAGTTGGATTCAAACATACTAGTTTGGACAGCTTTTGCTTATGTTTGAAAGACTATGGGCTGTCTGGAAAGAAAACTTCTGCCATTGATTGGTAACAGAAAACGTTTTGTATTGCACCAACTATCAGCTACCTATATAATAGTATGTACAGAACAAATAAATAATGCAACCAGGAAAAAAGTTGAAGTACATAAAGAAAGCAGCTAAAAAGCCTTTTTGTCACATCTATCCCACGTTGTTCACATATTTCCATTAATACTATTGACAGGAACAAAGTGTGGTTGTTCAGTAAAATATGTTTTTAATAAAACGTTGCAAATAAAGCAAATACGTAGCAATTCCTATAGAAATTGAGCAAGGCAGGTATCTCTGATAGTGAGTAGTAGCTGCTTTTCCCTAGATTTTTTTTACAAATGCACACTTATCTCCTAATCATAACATTGTGAGCTACTCATCAGGTTTACACATTTGACTCCTTGAATGTTTTAACCTATCCAGAACACTTTTAATAAAAGGCTGACCGTGTAATCGGCTCCGACTATCCTGGCAACATTTCGGGGAGCCAACTCACATTAACTTAACTATGTTTATGCTCAAGGCATATTTATTAGTAGCTTTGAATTTAAGATTGTAACCTACAATCGATTGTGAACCGGCAGTATCCCCCAAAGGTCTAGTCCTTCCTCAGTCAGAGTTCCTGTCTGTAAAATAAAAAAGTTCCTTTAATTAGCAAAATACTTTTAACTAGCTGTCCAAATTAACGGTAAGTTCACAAAGTTAAAAACGGTTAATTTCAATCAATGCCATTTGCATTAAAGGGTGAATCTTTGGGAATACCGAAAAGCTTACACTGAGAAGTACTACGGTAGTAATTTTATTTGTAGACAGTAGAAATTATAGATCAGTAGTTTAAATTACATTCAGATGGCATAAGAACTTTGTGCTGTTCATGTCTGAAGAAGAAGAATGATGCATAGCTGTTCTTTTGGTTTTATGCAAGGGGATAAAACCCTTGTACTGTACAAATTTGAAATTATTTAAATTTTTTTATTTAGATTTATATGGTCTAGGCATTCTTTGAAAATGCTTGTACCCTTTTCAAACCTGTAACTTCAATGCCAACATATCAGTGAAAAACGCAGATTTGGAATTGCATTAACATTATGTTAAAAATTGGAACACAGCACCTTAGAATTTTAGTGGCTTACAAGGATCGTAAGATTTAGATGAGCACCACTTTGTGAGGCACTTATTTAGCACACAAGCATACATTTCTTACAGTATTTATAAACTGAGTCACGAAAGGTAGACAGATTTAGAATCACCAAAGTCACCTTACCTTGTCAAAGCAGACAAGCTTCAGTTTTCCACCGACATTGATTCGGTGAGGGCTGATGCAGAAGATGTTTGCACGCTTGAGGCGGTTCTGAGCATATACAGTTGCCACGGTCATTGCTGCCGGGAGGGCAGGGGGAACGGCTATGGTTACAATATCCAAGGCACGAATTATAGTTTCCCTGAGGCTCACCTGAAAACAAAAGTACAGAGGTAGAATCTGAGGATGCCAACTGGAAGGCCAAATCAAATAGCAAAGGAAAGCTAAAAAACTGAGGTTATCTGCAGATGTTTATACAATGCAATGTTTGTTAGTGGACAGTGCATAAACACAAATTTGCACGCGGCTTGTTCATACCAAAACTAACAGGCATCAGGATTGATATCATGATTTATGACCCTGTCAAGTCCATCACTCCATGCATTTTTAGCTGCAATGATTGCATTTTCCAGATTGAATAAACAATGAAATTGATATTAATGCAAAGTTGCAGGCGAGGTGGACAGAATAAACGATGGGAGAAGGAGAACAAGAGGGACAAAGGATAAATACAAACCTCCAAACATAAATTTTATTTAAAACATATGTGCCCCTACATCAGTCAACAGAACATATGCTTGAAATAGCACACATGAAATGCCAGTGAAACATGCAGGGCTGTTGCTAACATCCAGGTCATGAGAAATTGAACGGCAGAGATTGCCATTAAATTAAGTTCAGGTAATCCTCTGGAGAATATAGAAAAAAAAAGGCGAGACAACTCACGTGTCTCTTGATATAGAGGTAGAGTGTGAACACCATGCCCACGCTGGCCACGGCAAAGAGCAGGAGGACAAACATGATGGCATCCTTGTAGAACTTGAAGCACATGGTCTGAGGGAACAGGATGGACCGCACCAGGGATCCCTTGGCTGTTGAAAAGCCTGCAAAATATCTCTGTTCAATTTTGCAACTTATCTGGTGACACCATGGAATACTTCCACAACACATCACATAGATCAGCGGAACAAAGTACCTATGCAGAAAACAGGAGGCAGAAAACTTTATCTCCAAATTGCTTTAATGTACAGAATGCATTGGTATCTATTGAGGAATTGCTTAAAATTTGTTTAGAAGACATTAATACATCAATTTGGGAAATCAAGAACAACATATTGTTTATAAATTTTCACCACCCTTCTCTACAACATTACCATGGACTATGGAAAGTATTGAAATGTGGTAACCATAGAACGAGACACCGGGCATTAACCTTAGCCGCACAGAGGCAGAGCATTGGGCTGCAGACCGAGAGGTTCCAGGTTTGATTCCTAGTGGGAGATGCGTATACATTGGCTTAATTCCGAGTGAGAGCTTGTGCACATTGTCGACCAAACCACTTTGCTGATGCTTCGCCATGGGGTGTGCGCGGCCACACAGACGGATGGAGCGACAGATGGACAAATTTCTGGAAGCAGGGAATTTCATTATAAAGCATGTTATGCTTTAATGTATTTGTAGATTTTTTTTACTTTTGTTTTCTTCACACACACACACACACCATTCCGCAAACTTGGAAAATGAAGTTCCTTCTTTTTCCTGTTATTTTCAATTTTATATTTTCCAGATGTAGCATTGAGTGATGTAAACATGTCTGATGCCTGACCTGTGCGGATCACCACTGCTGTCACCCTGCTACTGCCATAGTAACGAGTCTGGATGACTTGGGTGCCGCTGAACAGCACGTGCCTCCTGTGCAGTTCCGGTGAAAACTCTTCGTTATAAGGCAAAAGGGGAGTCTTTACATCAGGAATGCTTTCACCTGAGAAAAAGAAAGAGTACAGCAATGTCAGTTTAAGTGGGCGCAAATATTCTACCAAGTGTTAACCAAGCCCTGTGCTACACTACCGAGGCAATGGAAGGCCTGTGACATCAAAATGACAGGTACTCTGCTTGCACTCGTGAAAAGATTAAAAAAAGTATGGAATAAAGGATAGGCTTCGTTTGAACATGGCAAATATAGCAGGTGTATAGACTTTCAGACTTTCAAAATTTTCTAAAAATAGGGTGGCTGGAAAAAGAAAAAGCTTTTCGGGAACAAACTGGCAGACATCAGGGATTACGAAAGAAAAAAAATACTAATTAGCTAACCAAACAAAATTTACTCATAAAAATAATAATTAGTAAATTTTAATTTAATTAGATAGCTAATTAGTGTGTTTATTAAAATCCCTGACATCTGCCATGGCTTGATTAGTGATTTTTGTCAATTACTTACCTACTGATGCTTCTTTTGCCATTCCCGACGCCTGCTGTGGCAGGCAGTTCGTTCTCAAAAGTAATAATCATATTTTTTTTCACAACAATCTTATTTTCAGAAATTTCTAGTGTTGTGCAAGTATTCTAATTTTCTAATAGTAGTTTCAACTAACACGCTATTTGCTTCGAGATGAACTGCAATATTTCTATTTTTCTAAATGTTAATCGCGGCAGGTTAGCCCCGTTGAGCGCGCGTTCCGGTGCATGAATGCTGAGTAAGAAGCGCATCCAATGGGGCGAAAATGCTGCAGTCAACAATTTTTTAAGTACAAATATTGCAGCAGCGTGCTCAGGAAAGCACTTTCAAAGTGGGATATTACATGCGCGTGTCTGGTGTATTTAAAAAGAACCGAAATCTTTCTAAATGTAACATCTACAATGCAATCAAATTATAAAAATTAAACAAGCTATTACGCATGACTATATGTTAGGCCGAGATGCCCTGAAAACCTGCGTTAAATATTCATGACTAAAAAAAAGATATTAGTATATAGCACAAATATTTATAAATCTTCCCGATTAGGTATAGTTGGGTATCTATTTGGACAAGGTTCACCTTGTCCTAAGAGTGATTAAAAAACTTTAGTGCCACCTTTTTATTCCTTGTCACTACCGTAGTTAAAAAAATCTTTCTGAAGTATTAGTTCTTTTCCCTTTGTATGGATTTACTTTGGCTGCATTATTGGCGACGAGATGTTTTGGTGGCGCCACCTCGTGGCCACTCTCCTGTGACGGAGCGGGTAGGATGTGAACAGACAACTCGCTATGTAATAAATTAGAAACGGCTTATTTATTAAATAGGCGTGTATGATGTTTTTGTGAGTGACCTTTCTAATAAATAACCGTGCCTCGAAGCTGCTTATTATATAAAAAAAAAGAACTTTAAAATGTTCAAAACAAGCTTGGAGCTTCACATTACGGCTTGTGCAGCGTGCGTCAGGGCTATTCACAGCCCATCTGATTTTTGTTTTTTTGGATCTGTGGACGCTCCTCTAGAGAACGGTTTCGCATTCACTTGAGTAAATGACGTGCTGCCATCTTACCTTCGCACGCGTGCACAGTTGTGTTGTAAAGTGCCGCACACTTGTTTTTACCAATATTGAGCTTGCCGATACCAGTGCTTCTATCCAAGTGGGACTCGACAGTTGCTGACGAGAAAATGCTCGTCAGAAACTGACGCCTAGCTCCTCTCTCATCGAATATGCGGTAAAGTTTGTCACATTGTGACTTCTGCTTGAAAAAAAATTGTTAGACACTTTTAAATTGTTGGCCATGGCCCAGCAAATTCAAGCAATTGATTAATTTCATCTATCTAATTTTTACTTAAAGTGTCTACGAGTTTAAAATCGCTCATTGCGAAGCACATCAGGCATTATGCGCAATTCTTTAGGTATTGAAATGGTAGTAATTCATAGCAGGTGTTCATCTCATTTTTTGGGATGTCACCGACTTACTAGATTTAACAGAAATAGAATGTAGGGGACCTCGCACGTTTCGCGCCGACCTGGTGAATAAGCACGGATATAATTGAAACGACTTTGGAAGCCAGCCACCACTTCTTCCTGCAGTTGTTTTGAGAAAATGTTTGTTTACTTGTTTACAAAATTTAAGACGGAACCAACTTGGAACTACAAAATATAAGTATAGTTCTGGGTTTTCGGTTTTTATTTTTTAAGAATTCGGCATACTTTTTTCAGTGTTTATTTTAAGATTCAGTTTTCATTTTTTTTGTGTGTATATTTATGCCCACAAAAGTTTAACAGTTTTTTTCGGTGAATGTGAAAGAAACACCATCGGACACTGCATCAGATAATCCTTGTAACTCTGATATTTGTGATCCCTCAAGGAATAATGGCAAAAATACATTGAAAAAAAAAACAAAAAAACAAAAAAAAAACATTGACACTTTAATTACAAATGTGTGCAACTGTAAAAAAAACACAGAAGTATAAACAAGTCAGTGCCAAAAAAACATGGAACTTCACCTTCTGTATATCAGGATTACGTAATCTTATTATGTACTTTGCCAGGTTCTCCTTGTTGATCCACGCTCATTCCTTCCTGTTAATGACCCTGAGCTTCGAGAATGCCTTCTCAAAGTTAAATCTGGACACTGACACGCTGAGGAGACGAAGCGCTGCCTGATCCAAAATCGGTCAATCAACCGAATGTGACAACCAAAAGAGACACGGTGCGACGTTTTGAAGCACAACATATTTCCTGTAGTCACTAAACTCTGGCTGCAGATCTTGCATGAAGATAAAAACTTTATACTAGCCCACACCCAAACTTTTTTTTTTTAGGACCAGGAACTTGACACATTATGCCCGATCACAGAAAGGACACAGATATCCCGAGAAGGACAACCTAAGACCTCTTTTGTTGCACGTGAACCTTGGAAGAGGGCCAATTACGAAGAGGTCACATAATGTCAAACCTTGCAATGCCCTCTCTCCCCTCGCCCTCCCCCACCTTCCCCCCACCCATCTCGACGGTGCCCTAAAATACTGACCACTATCTGTTCAAATAGAATTTTAGGGGATGGATTCGGCTCACTTTTATCGGTTTTTATTGGTTTTAACCGAAAACGCTCAACCTAAAAACTGACCTTTTTCGGTTAAAACCGAATTTCCGAAAATGGATTCGGCGCACTTTTATCGGTTTAAACCGAAAACACATAACCCCAAATATAAGAGACCAGCACTCAAAGAACACATTGGAGCGAACAGGATGCACGGAGTCGCCTTCACTGAAGTGTTTACTACACATGCAAGAGGCTCTCGAATTTCGCTTTCCTATTTTCAATTTGATGAGACATTCTTTCCGACTTCTATTTTGGTTGAATCATAATAAAAAAATACACCCTATTCACCGTGGCAAACGTGGTAGTGGGAAAAAAGCGCTGAATATTCTATCTGGGGTAGAGAACAGACCACCATCCGAGTGCTTCGACACCTCGGCGTCAAAAGTGTTTGTCAACACGACTGCACGCGCCACGTTTTTCAAGCTTCGGTAAAATGTCCCACTACAAATATCACTTCACGGAATAAACACAACACGTGAAACGGGCTTTGCTGTCACAAACAATGATGATGATGGTTGGATAAGCGCCCCCTGTAGTTTGCGCACGCCGCCAATACTGTCACGAGTTAACGAGTTATATGGCCTATATAATTTATTACGTTTTAATTAGGTCATGACAGTATGTTTTTGTAGTGTCACCTTCCACGGGGATGCTCGATAAGCTGCCCAGCTAAAGGCGGCTGGCTCACACCAGGCTCACACATTTGCGACTGCTTACGACTCTTGAGATCTCTTACGACAAGAGCTACAGAACGGTGCCCTCTATCAAATAGCCGTGGAATGCTTGCAATTTCCCTACGATACCTTTTTTTTTTTTGCACATAATTCTTTTATTTTTTGCTCGAAATACTTTTGTCAACATTATAAACCAGATACTGCAAAACTCTTTTCGCTCTGGTGAAATGCAGCTCCAGGGCCACTTCATAGATTGTGCCACTGGTGTGTCCTCTCACCGCTAAAAGATCAGGGGATGTTGTAACACAAACACAAATATGTTACAAAAAGGAAAAAAAAAAAAAAACAGCAACATTGTTCATTTTTAGTGAATCGTCCCTACCTGTAAGCATGCTTTCGTTCACCAGGCAGTTGCCCGCTGTGAGCACGGCGTCGCAGGACATGATGCAGCCGGACGGCGGCACGCAAATGAGATCACCGGGAACCAGGCAGCACGAGGGAACCTCCTCCATTTCTGTGGTCCGGTAATTAAACGGACACTAAATTACGCTCGCCGCCGGGAAGGAAACAGCAGCATTTCTCTTCCAGCACATGCTCGTTGCCTTCCGCTGCGCTCTGGCCGCGAGTGGTGCAAGCTCGATGCTCACAAACGCCGAAATGTTATCGAAGCTAAGAAGCTCGCGCTGGAGGAGGGACTTACCCAAGGACCTCCTTGCCGTTCTAACCCGTCAGTGAGTATTGTATACAGAAAACAAAATATTAAATTGGACAAAGTTAATACCTACAATAGCTTTTTTTTTAATTAAATGGATATTAGTTGAGTTAACGTTGAATTTGTCAGTTGGCATGCACCTAAATAATAACAGTGCCCTTATAAGGAGGACAAGGGGAAAACATGCAAAGAAAACACCCACGCACATTAAAGGACACATGCAAAGGAAAAAAACATTTTTTTTAAACAGCTTAGATGGAAAAAGGATATCATAAAACGATTTTACAACCAAGAAAAAAAATTTTTAGAGCTATATTGACGGCGCTATACAAATTTGTAGTTAAAGCCGGCAGGCGCCGCGAAAAAGTGGCCCTTGTTTATCACGTGACGCTCCCATATTTGTCACATAGTGCTTGCGCTCTTTTGGAAGCTTCCTATGGCCTCTAAAAGTAACTTATTCATCTTTGTTTGATGTATAAAAAAAAAAACTAAGGTGAATAAGTAACTTTTAGAGCCCAAAAGAAACTCCTGAAAGAGCGCAAGCAGACGTGATAGACCTGTGCGCCGGTCAGACGAACTTGTGCGGCGGCGGCGACGGTGGCGCGGAGAAATGCGTTGAAGCGGTGTTCGCACAACGCTCAGCGTGCGGCAACGATGCAGCGCAGCGGCGCACGGACCTACCACGTGACCAGCGGTGGCTCCCGCGAGCACCAACTACAAATTCGTGTAGTGCCGTAAATATAGGTCTAAAAATGTTTTTCTTCGTTGTAAAATCGGTTTATGACATCCTTTTTCCATCTAAGCTGTCTGAAAAAAAATGTTTTTTTCTTTTGCATGTGTCCTTGAACAGAAATCCACATTTTCCTCTGATATAAACTTACAGCTCAATTTTGTGATAAAGGATTTTTTTATTAAAAATTCCTTGATTTAAATTGCAGTCAATTTTTAATATTCATACTCAATCTGCAGTCGATTTTTAATATTAATTTCAACCCGCAGTCAAAATCTTATATTTGCACATCGTTATTAAGATGCTTAATTAGAACATTTAAAGTTATAAGCCACATATATAATAAGAATAAAACGGTTTATGGTTTTGATAAGAACCAAAAAAATATGGTTTATAAACATGTTTTGACATCTGGACCAAGGTATGCATTTAAGATGTAATGTAGAGAACTTTAAACCATGGGAACATTTGAAAATGCACCCACCGTGTTCTGATCGAATGACGAGCACTGTTCCTGCATTGGCATGGGAAACAATGCTTTTCAAAAGCTTCCTTTGCTGAAAAACCAGATGGAAAAGTTCACTTTAAACAAACTTTTTACCCAAAATTGGTGCTCCCATTTCTTTGTACAGTCCTGGTGTTTTGTAATACATCTCTATGATTTGGAGAAATTGCGAAATGAACAGGATACCCTGTATTGTGAGTGCTATAAACTATTCCTGTGCGAATAGTGGATTTTGAGTTCAAAGCGAATTTGAAGCGAATAGTGGCTTTGGCCAAATATTTTCGATTCAAACATAGAATAGTTTTTCCACGCCTTTCACTACCATTGCATAATGCTTAGATGAAAACCCAGCTAAACTCGTGAAGGTTGTTCCACTTGTTAATTTATAAGCTAAGTTTAATCTATTTCTATTTATGAACTGTGACCTCAGAAGGTCTGATGTCTTGGGATGGCAAGTAAATGACATATTTGGCATAAAATGAACCCTAGAGAGATGGCCAACTGTGCTCAATTAAGTGAATTTACAAATCTTGCTATATAAAATGTTCTTTCTTTAATCTCGAGTTAAAAAAGAAAGAATCGTGCATGATGAACGCAGGATGTAAGGGCATCTCTGCCTAACATACTCTTGCATAAGTTACAGTCAGTTTAATTTTGAAACTTTTACCACCAATGTAGATATACACATTCACAAAGTTTGCATTTATTTTCAAATACTACAGCCGGCATGCGTGCACTATACCGCTTTGAATTTATGCTTTTCTTCCAAGCACGCAATTGCAATATTCATACTTTTCCAAGTGTTTATCGCGGCGGGTTACCCCGTTGAGTGCGCTTCTTCCCGAGCACCAATCTGATGCAGAGAAGCAACACCCGTGGAGCTCTTTCTGCGGGTTGCTTCTCCACAGTGCGCCGGTGCTCGGTTAGAAGCACACTCAACGGGGCTAACCCGCCGCAATTAACACTTCGAAAAAAAGCGAATAGTGCAGTTCTTCTCGAAGCGAATATCGAAGAGCATATTTAAAACCACTATTCGAAATTTCGAATATTTGCACAACCCTACTATAAACCAAACTTAATACAGTGCTATGCCATAGACTTAGCTTATGACCTATTAGCAAGCATACACTGCAACAATAACCTCTATTTAGCCATTGTATTTGACAAAAAGAAATCTGTAACTGCAGAATTCAATATGTTGGAGGTGAGGCTGTATTAAACATTCCTGACAACCAGTGGCGTCACTAAAGAGGGGGGGGGGGGGGGGGGGGACTGCTCCAGGTGCAGCGCTCAGGGGGGTGCAGCTGGGCAGTGAAAAGGGGGGGGGGGGGGGGGGCGTCTCACAGGCGGGCCACGAGAGGGGGGGGGGGGGTCATGGCAGGCCACCGCCCCGGGCCCCACTGACCCTAATGACACCACTGCTGCCAAACCACCTCAATTAGTATCAATTAAGGACCTCATTGAAAATTCTAGCAGTGGTCTTGTTTTCTGAATTTGAAGTTTGCTAAGTGAACCATAAAATGTCTTAACGTTGCTTATGCAGTAAAATGAATGAGGAAAGGCAACACCTTATTATTGTGCACCAAAAACATTATATGAAAGTGTGATTACATGGTATGTTGTACATAACAAACATTAAAAGCATAGATCAGTCTTTAACAAGAATTATATGATTCGTTAATTCTTGAATGACAAACTGTGACACTAACATTTGTCTTACTTTTTCGCTTCAGTCTCTTTAAACCATTGCATAATTTTAATGAATTTTATTAGCATCCTATATTTTAACTGTCAGCACCATAATGCATACTAGTGCAGTAAAGCTATGCTATAGCTCGAATCATCTCTGCACAACAGCTGCAAACATTGCAACCTGTCATCTCCACTGCTGCTGCTGCTGGTTTAATTTTTGTTTATACATTTTATCAGAGATGGAGTTTCACACCACAGTTTCACGTAAAACTGACCAGTCGAATACACATTGAAATGTTCAAGCTTGCAGGGTCCAACTGCCAATTTTGCTGGTTTATTATATGCCACAATGAACATATTTGTAACAGGTTATATAAAAAAGTGCCACCTCACACAGATTTTTCCCTCAGAAGGTGTGCAACCTTTAGAATGCCCTCAATTTCAATCCCTACGTTGCACAAGTTCGCTTACCCTTTTCGTCTCATAGAGCGACACTCCAATGGAAACGACGGATATGATGAGAATGCAGGTAGCATAGTAGTAGTAAATGTCCAGAATCCATAGGGTGATGCTTCCAATTTGGAATATGTAAAATGGATTGATTACCTGAAATGTTTGGTGGAATGATTGCAACTGTCTGCGGTACATCATACTCCAAAAAGTGTATACAATACAAAAGCCGGCTACCTCTTCAAGAAGTAGGCTCAGATAAGATTTCACCTCCACATCAATTGAGTTAAGTCCATAGATGCGAGACCTGAAACATAAAACCAGCAGTGGAAATGTGTTCAATGCAAACTTTCAAACACACATGGTGATATAACCTAACCTATCTCACAAAAAAAGTCTAGATTTTTTACATATATACAGAAAAATGTCAATAACTGCAACTACCTGTCAATTGTACTGCAATCTAAAAAACGGACATGTGAAATAGTTAAGATTGACTATACTACTATGTGTTTCTCAGTTATGCAGCTTTTCTCAATAGAGTATGACTGTGTATGACTATGCATTAATGCCAATCTAAACATACCAGGTTCAACTAACAAAATTGAAAGCAGTCTTTTTGGGTCAAGTCAAGAGAACATAAGAAGCAAAATCACATGCATTTGACTTTGCTCCTAAATTATTAATAAGCTGTAGTCCTTTCTATTTTAGGAACTAATTAGCATATATAAATGAGTTCATATGAGCTCATTTAGAAATGCTAAGTTTCTCGTTACTTTGTCTGAAAATTCATAGCATGTGTCAAGAAACAAAACCACTGTTTGAGACAACCCAAAACATACAAGAGTTAGTTTGCACTATAGGGGCTTTGGCTTATGTAACAAAGGTGCAAAAAGTGGGGGTCGCAAAACAATAGTCAGGGTCTGTAATCTCTTGAAGGGCTTTGGCTACTGCAGACCAGATGTGAAAAGTGGAGAAAGGGTGTTTTCCTCTCAATGTTACTCAAAACATTTTGTATTCAGTTTGGTAGTGAGTGGCAAAAGATGCACACAACCCAATGTATCACACTGCACATATATGGACCATCTGAAAGTCTGCCATTAGAGACAATTTCTTCTAAAGGCTGAAGTGAATATGAACAGGTGGCAAACATGGATCTCAAGGGGATCCAACTGCCATATTTGTTAAGCTGAGGACCATACAACTTTCACAATAAGCTGGTGCAGATGCAATGGCAACAAAAACACATGTATTGAGGGTAGCAGACATTTCATTGAACGCCGTTTCATTGAACGCCGTTTCATTGAATGAATGGACATTTCATCGAACGCCGTTTCATAGAATCGATAAGGGCCGTTTCATCTTATTTCTCTGTATCGAGTTTTGGGGCATAACTGTGCTTTATACATGTTTTACCTTACATTTGTTAAGACTAAGGTAGTCACTTGAGAAAATGTTTTTAAGGTGGAGTCAAATTACCAGAAATAAAAATCATTGGTATAAAAAGAAATAAAAACAAATGGCTAAGCGACTTACTGAAAAGTTTTACTAATGTACACGACAGAAAACATGACACCGGAGGTAAAGGACCGACAGTTAAAACACTTCTAAGTGTCGGTGTAATTTTTTTCAGCGGCTGTCTAGGAGTTTCAGTAATGTGCAATTCACACCAGCTCGTTTGCACACTTATGCTTAGTTGAAAGTTTATTCACGGAAAGCATTTAACTGCCAAGGCAGCACGCCTATAATATAACGATACTCTGCCAGGAGAGCACACAAAATAAATTATAACGATACTTTGATTATCAGCTTTAAACTCAGATGAAATGTTTCTGCTTTTTTTTTTTTTTTTAGTTTTAAATTTTTAGAGATAAAAGCTGCACAAAGTGTCAGCCAACATTGTTTCGAGCTACACCTGGACCGGACCTCCCCTTCACTGTCAACTTTATCACTGACCCTTTTGCCTATGAATGATCTTCACGACGCTTTCTTAGGAAGGCGAACCCGCACCAGACAATAGTAAAGCCCAGGGTGTACTCTGTCACTTAAGACAGAATCCTTTCGGATCCTCACATAACCCAAGGTTACACGTACACCCTGTCAGACATTAAAACACTACCCGCTTCGCAGGAAGCACATCATGCTTTCCGTTTTTTTAGAGCGCAGCTCTTAGGGGCCCGTTTCCGGCTTGAGCGGCGTCGCCGTCGGCGTCGGCGTAACCGCGCGGTGCATCATGGGAAATGTCCCATAATGCACCGCGCGAGCCCCCCACCAAGGTCACGTGACCTCGTGGGGGGTCACGTGACCCCCCGAAGTCACGTGACTCCCCTGAGGTCACGTGGCCCCCTTTTCGAGGTCACGTGACCCCCGCCGATGTCGCGTGACCCCCCGATGACGTCATCGTCACTGATGACGTCACCGGCATCCACATCGTCATCGTCATCATCACTGATGACGTCACCGGCATCCACATCGTCATCGTCATCATCACTGATGACGTCACCGGCATCCACATCGTCATCGTCATCACTGATGACGTCACCGGCATCCGCATCGTCATCATCACTGATGACGTCACCGGCATCCACATCGTCATCGTCATCATCACTGATGACGTCACCGGCATCCACATCGTCATCGTCATCATCACTGATGACGTCACCGGCATCCACATCGTCATCGTCATTATCACTGATGACGTCACCGGCATCCACATCGTCATCGTCATCATCACTGATGACGTCACCGGCATCCACATCGTCATCGTCATCATCACTGATGACGTCACCGACATCCGCATTGTCATCGTCATCATCACTGATGACGTCATCAGTGACGTCACTGATGTCGTCACCGGCATCCGCATCGTCATCGTCATCATCACTGATGACGTCATCAGCGACGTCACTGATGACGTCACCGACATTCGCATCGTCATCGTCATCATCACTGGTGAAGTCATCAGTGACGTCACTAATGACGTCATCGGTACCCGCATCGTCATCGTCACTGATGACGTCATCAGTGACGTCAGTGATGACATCATCGGCATTGGGGGTCACGTGACCCCCAAGGTAACGTGACCCCCCCCAGGTTAGTTTAACCCCCCCCCCCCAGTGCCCTTCCCTCCTCCTCCTCAAGAGCTGCGCTCTAATTCGGCGTTACAGGGAGTTGTAAGCGGCTTTCATTTTTTTTCTAATTTTTAATTGTTTTATGTGACATGGAGAGGGGTCATTGTTTCATAGAGGCTTTCTTCTCGAAGCAGGATATGTTCAGGATGGAACTTATCTTGTCACTGCACCCCGTGATTTAAAATACGGGAGAATCGGATGACGTAGTGTATAAAAATTAAAATAAATTACAAAAATATTACAGGCTGTAACGGTGTTCGCTGAAAAGGCGTTCGACGAAACGGCGTTCGACGAGACGGCGTTCGACGAGACGGCGTTCGACGAAACGGCGTTCGACGAAACGGCGTTCGACGAAATGTTTGGACCCAATGTATTGATATTATTGTAAATTTTTCTATTTTACCACCTAGGCACTCCAACATTCTTCTATATGTTGACCAATATGTCTATTATAATTATTATTATTAAGAAAACAAATCAGTCGACATTTATATGGATTCAGGAGTCGCAGTCTGTCAGTTTTAGGCACTTCTGCTTTAGCACACTTTACAATACACTCGTTCTGCAACCTAAGTCTTTCCTACTGTGTTTAACAAGTATAACTAAAGTGGGACAAGCAAACTGCATTACTTTTCTTCTTGTAGCTCTTTCGTGTAGCCCGTGTACTTGTTGAAGAAATCAGTGCAGTCGACACCTTTGTCCAGGCCACTGTAGGAATATTGAAATTCTGAAATTGGCATTGTTTGTAGGTATCAAGCAATATAGGTATGCAGAAGGGAGCAAGTAGTGTCAATTAAGAGAGATGTCAAGAAAGGCAAAAACAAGTAGCCTAAAACCAGCCACCTTAATCTGCTAAACCTTGCCTCTTGGGCGTTCCACACATAGCGAATGTGCTGGTGTATGAAGAACCTCAGGTAAGCCTCCTGCATTGAAAAAAAAAAATGCTATGGTTATTCAGGCGTTGCCAGTCCTGACAAAAGATAACCTAAGTACTGTATGTCACATACAAAAACAAATCTCCTCTATCACTAACTTGTAGTTCAATTGTACCTTTACAGAAAGTTTCCAAGCTCTCATTTACTATCACGTTTTCCACTTTCTAAAACAATATTTATTTACTAAGCAAAACACAATGAGAAGATTCAAGTTTAAATGAATGTCTTATACTCCAGTAGCTGGAAAACGAAGAGGAAGTTGCAGGGGTTTCCCCAGGAATTGAAATGAGGGGGGGTGTCTAAATTTTGAGGGGGGGGGGGGGGGTTTAGGGGAGGGGGCATTGAGAATAGAGGAGTTGTTGGCGAATTAAGGGGGTGCCTTCAGAAAAACAAGGGGGGTGTACACCCCCCTAGGGGGTGTGTAGGGAAATCACTGGGCAGTAGTACCTGATATGTGACTTTACAGGAGCTGTGCTTGTAAAAGGCAATGCTTGATGAAGTGGGTTCATGAATAGGTTGTAAAATGACCTTGGATACTGAAAGTCTGTTGTACTTGTCCTGTAAATGAATGGAGTGAGAAGAGTTGTTTATGTGCACAGAACATTCATAAATGTGGGAGCCAGAACACAAGAAATATCTAAAGTCGGTGACAGGTCAAGAACGAAGTGGAAGCTCCTCCCACCCCTTTCCACTTTAACAGAGCGAACGGTGGAAAGGAGGTCACCTTCTCTTCGGTGATCGCTCTGTTAAAGTGGAAAGGGGTAGGAGGAGCTTCCACTTCATTCTTGACCTGTCACCGACTATAGCTTGACATCTATTAATCTCGAACATTAAAAATGGGCCTGCATAAAGAGAATGATATTGCAGTGTTTTGCAATTATGCTCGTGTTCTATTAGTCCAGATGAGTATGCATTTTTAAAACAATATTTGTATCTCGATCTGCTATGCTGCAAAACCCAGCGACCATTTCTTGGTTCGACCCCCCTCCTATCTCTTTCCATCTGGATAAGTATATTGTACCGGCATGGAACATGTAATCACTACATACTGCACAATGCAACCCTGAAGGTTAGCAGTCGCACTGCAATGGCTAAACTGCCCACCTACAGTTAAACCAGACACCATTTTAAAGCAGACTAATTTCCCAACATTTAAGCATGCATACAACAAATTTGACTTTTTGTATTGCTGTAAAGAATTCATACACATGAGGTCACTTGGCTATCTTTGACGGTTCCCGTTTCCTGGGTTCTAACTGGGATGTGCCACAGTGTTTACAAATGTAGATAACCCACTTTGTGTTAGGAAAGAGCAAGATGTTTTTCTTTTCTATCAGCCACCTCCGATAACTACTGACCCCACTGCTAGGTTTCAAAAGGGAAAAGTTATCTTAAATGCTAATGTTTGTAAAAAAAAAAGAAAAAGATTAGCACATCAAGTAACTTTGCATAGCACATAGCGAGATATGTCTCAACAGGTGTATAGATAAGCATAGAAAACTGGGAGGAAGCAGGAGCAGCTGTAGGGCTTGCCAGATGCCATCATTATCTTATGAGAAAGTCCGAAGTGTACACTGGAAGTTTTTCCAAAGAGCTCTTTTTACCAGCTCCTGCAACCCTTGATTATTGCTTGCACTTTCTCGCAAGATTGTGACAGCATCTGGAATGTCATCCATAATGGTGCACAGGAGGTTTTAAAGATAGCCATGAACAAAGGGTATTAAAAGAATGCTATTATGTGCAGGAGCATGACTTAATACTAAATCGCTATCAATGCTGACACAGGGGGCATTACAGTGAAACAAGGGTCAGTTGGTGGAGTTTACTATAACACTCACCTTTAGGACGAGGACCTCAGCTTTAGACAGTTCGCAAGTGGTGCACGTCATCCATACTTCCCGTTCAGGTTGCCATCTTGAGACCAGCGCCACCAGTCCCAATGTCAGGAAGCAGAATGCATTGTACAGTAGCTTTCTCCAGGTGGAGATTCTGTAACCATAAACTTCCTGAAAAAGAAATTGCTTATATGATTACTGTAAGGGCATTTTATAGACCAACACGCGGCTCTGACGTCACGCAGCTGCGGTGGCGCTGTCGACGGCACTGCATATGCGCAGACGCTTCACTTCGGGCGAATTCGGTTTCTGCACACGTGCAGTGCCCACACCTTGTGTGGGCAAACGCTGGCGTGTTTGTAAACAGCGTGTCGGTCTATAGCCTCCTAATTGTTGTTATTAGTGAATCAAAAATAAATTATAATCATTAATTTGCTTCAGTTAAGAAATAAAATAAAATATTTTAAATGCAATCAGCAAGTGAAAATTATGAAATGTTGACATTAATTGACGATATATACAGTTCTCATGGGGCAGCGGAGAAAAGCTCACCGGAGTAAAGCTCACCGGAGTAAAGCTCACCGGAGAAAAGCTCACCGCAAAACCGGCAGATGCGGAAAAAAGCTCACCGGCCTTTGAGCGGATGAGGAGAAAAGCTCACCGATTTTTTACTTTTTTTTTTTAGCTTGGCTGGTTTCTGCGTCACACGTGGCAATTTAACACAATTTGAATTCGTCATTTCATTAAAGATATTTACTACTTTTGCAATATTCTTGAAGTTCATTGGCCATATTTACTAATTCCTCGGAAATTAGGAATCACCGATTCTGTATATCAGTGCAGCCGCAAGTACAAAAACACAACATTGGACATAATGTAGAAAACCCGAGGCTGTGGTAAAAGCAAGGAAACGAAGTCGAAGAAGAAAGACAGGGGAAAAGAATGTCTCACGTTCTTTCTTGTCTTGAGACATTCTTTTCCCCTGTCTTTCTTCTTCGACTCCGTTTCCTTGCTTTTACCACAGCCTCGGGTTTTCTACGTTATGATCAACATCCACCAGCTCGCCTGCGCACTCACAGTTTTTTCATTGACAACATTGGACACCGGTAAAAAAAGACAACAATTCATTGACAGCTGACAGTGCGCCGTCGGTAGCTCTGTCAGATTAAAAAGTTTGTTCTTTACGAGCTAATATGACTAGCTGTGAGGACACCGCTTCAGCTCCAAAGATTGTGTAGTGCCTGATATATAAGTATGTGTTTGTCGATGTAATCAGTGTCGGGTACGCTGTTTTCTTTCTGTTAATTTCACGAATAAAACTTTAGTTATGAGAACAGCTTCGTCCTCTCGTGTTTGCATGTCTTCACTCCGTCGTCATCGTTTGAGTGGTTTCCATCATGTATAACGTTCACCAGCTCGCCCAATTCGCTACCTTACAGAAAACTAGTTCTCTTATAGGACACGAGTAACAGCGGTGACAGTGTGCAGCTCTGAAGGTCATGGGTCGCTCTCCGTAGAAAGGCACTATCACACGTAGGCAACGTGTGGAAACACCAGCTCGAACGGCTAGAAAACATGCATCTCCGTGGAAGAAAGAAACCTCGATATCCTATATCGACTGTTTTATCCTGTTTTCAAAGGTTAAGAAAAGCTTCAAAGAGAATTTCAGGCACTGCGTTGTTGCGCATGCACTTTTGGATTTTCGACATTTATGGTTTTGATTTTTAGGTATTAGGCAGACATAATTAAGTTTTCGAACTTATTCCTGTTCTTCAAGTTCATAAAATTTTCAGTTAGGCTTTCGTTGCCTAGAGAGTAAACCACAGAAAACACTTGCCCGCAATTATAAGTTTGGGAGAAATATACCCAATAAGCTTAAAGGCTGACTTATGAAACCATTTTGCACAGGGTAGGAAAGTGCTCCCCAACGACCTTCGCTCCCTCCCCTCTCGCACTCCTTCCTCCTCCTCCCCTGAAAGGGGCGGGTCCGGAAGCTAGTTTCCATGGAAAGGAGAAGGGGTTTCCTCCTTTCTGGTGGCAAGAAGGAAACCTCTTCTCCCACTGAAGATGGTTTTGTAGGTCGGCCTTTAACAAATAATACAAAAAGGACATTTTCTTTTTTACAAAGTTGACGAATTTTAATGATAATAAATTGATATGTTACACATGATCCAACAGCCTCCATGTAAAAAGAAGAAAAAAAAAATCAGTGACCTTTTCTCCGCATACTCTCAATGGCCGGTGAGCTCTTTTCCGTATCCGCGGGTTTTGCAGTGAGCTTTTCTCCGGTGAGCTTTTCTCCGGTGAGCTTTTTTCTGTGATTTGTTGTCATGACCTATCTAACTTGCCATGTCTCATTAAATCATTGAAATACGATTTAAGTAATACACATGGGTAATAGCTTTAAAATCGAAAAACCCATTTTTTTTGTAAAGCTGTATCAAACTTTTGTCTGATTATATATGAAGCATGTGTAACTTGTTTGCATTTTTCTTCTTTTTTTTTTTCAGGCGTTGGCAGATTTTACATCTATTATCTTTAACGAAGGAAATATGAGGAAGAAAAAAAATGTTGCTTCTTGCTCGCGTGCTTTTTTTTTTTGTTTTTTTTCGAGTCTGCAAGACCGAGAGAGACCAGACAGGTTTTAAGCCTCTTGCGATCTCTTAGGACCAGCTCCGCTGCATCGCATCCGGTCCTAAGAAGTCGCAAAAGGCTTAAAAACCGGTCTGATCTCTCTCGGTCTTACTCAGTCGCAAGAGTGTGAACGGATATATCGAAGCAGTAAAATAACCTCCCGGAACTTATGATTTATGCTTTTGACAGTGTTTACATAATGGCTTTGCTGCGATAACTATTTCTTGAACAATCACACAAATATGCATGCGGGCGTGGGTCATTGGAAATAAACATGCCATCATCAAAAATTATCAACAAAGGGCATATGTTGTCGCGCGGAAGTGATTGCATTGACGTCACATCGGTTGTGGTGGTTTTGCTGCATGCGCGCCTCCGACTGGAGGACCGGTACTCACAATGCGTTCGTCTGCGTCTCCATGTACGACGGCGGTGAATCCGAGCAGCTCGTCTTCGGGCAGCAGTTTGTAGGACATGACTCGCTTTCTTCAAACATAGCAAATGGGAGGTCGACTGCACACCCTAGCAACAAAAGAAAGCGGCAAAATAATCTTAGTCTGCATGCCTTTCGACCCCTTAGCAACAATTAACACATCGCTTGTGGCAGAAGTAATTAACGTACCAAACAAACAAACAGCCAAAAAGGAAGGTAAACAAAATCCGTACCGTACTAGACGGAAATGTGCAAGATCACCACCAACTATATCCATATTGTCAGTGATCGACACTGCTTGAAATTACTGTTGATAGCCGCTGTTCTGCACCGACTCGACTGAGTTCGGAATCCGTGTCTAGCTTACGCACGATAAGCGTACGATGGTGGACGTCGGTGCGATGACAAATCAAATCACACGAAGGAAGAAAAGAAGTGCCGAGAAAACGTTTCGAATAAAAGTTCTACTTACGCCTCGACGGTTCTCATAGCCAGCGCGGACCAAGTTGCTTATGCAGGCCGGAGCTTTCCGTACTCTGGCGGTGGCTGATAAGGACGGCCGATTAGGACTGCAAGAGATAAGGTTATGTGTATCCGCTCGGGAGTCGGGGAAGGCTTGCGTCGATGCTTCACCAGCTTTTTTTTTCTTTTGCTCGTTTGTTATTATCTGTCGAGCTTTTTCTTGCCGAAATCTCAACCTTTGCGCGAAAAAAGACAGAATAAATGGGCGCGCGAAGAAGTGTTGGGCGGCAACTGCGTCGCGCCTACGGCTCAGCGCAGCGACTGTTTCGTTTCCGCTTTGCTTTGTGCATTGTTCTCCGTTCTCTTGAGAATCGGAGCCAAAACAAGATGATTGACTGCACTCGTGTTGCAACAGTTTTTGTATTTTCACTATAATTACCTCATCAAAATAATCGGCATTCCTAACCTACAAACACGCGTCAAAAAAAAAAAAAAAAAAAAAAAAAAAAAAGAAGGCAGCGTTTTTTTTTGTTTTTTTTTTAATTTGCAGACAGCTAGAATGAGCGGTGGTCATCCTAGCAACGTGCTCGAGTCGGCAGAGCACACTGATCTCTCAGTGGCAGAGCACATGACAAGCGCTGAGCTCCAGACATTGTCAAGGTTCAGCTGTTCTTGTCACTGCAGCGGTTTTACACCATCCACTACCCCAATGCGGGAGGCACTCACTTGATCGAATGACGTTTTAGCGAACGCCCACGTTTCACCGAATGACACTCGTTTTCGGGTGGGCCAAATGGGTTCACATTTTTGTAATGAGCCGACTGTCGCCGCGAAGCGGCGACAGTCTGCGGCAGCTTAGTACAAAAGAGACAGTCTCGGCGGCTCATCATTGTAATAAGCCGCGCGCCCCCGTTATTCGCTAAAACGTCGATTCGCTCAAATGTCGCTGTTCGCTACAACGTCATTCGCTCATGTAATATGGACCCGAGGTCACAGCCAGATGCCAAAGTTTCAGCCCGATCCGATACCTTATTCAAAAGTTATAAGTGATTTTCTGAAAATATCAATGGGGAAATGGAGCCCATTTTTGCCCGTTTTCGGTTTCTGGTGCCATAGAGCCCCATGTATCCGAAAACTCCGTCGGCCGCCATTTTCCCATTGAACTTTTCAGAAAATCAGTTATAAGTTATAACCTTTGAATAAGGCATCGGATCGGACTGAAACTTTGGCATCTGGTTGTGATCTCTAGAGGTACCTTTGGGCGGAGAATGAGCGTTCGGCGATGCGTAGTTAATTTTTGCAAAAAAAAAAAAAAAAAAAAAAAATAAATAAATAAAAAATTAACTGTAATTTTTTTTTTTTGTGTGACACCCTGTACATACGTGTACCACCCCGTGACTACGACATGAATGCGACCCCCGTTACTCCGTCATCAAGTTTCACATAGGAGAGACTAAAGGCTGGTTCACACTGCCCCATTTTCTTACGTTAAGTTACGTTCCGAAATATTACGCTGAAGTCACCGGGACCTCTGTGCTTCATATTAAGCGAGGCTACCAGTTCAAGAAGAAAGCATGACACGCGACATTCGAGACACGAATGTTTCGGTGACTTATACGTAACGTAACTTAACGTAAGAAAATGGGGCAGTGTGAATGAGCTTTAAAGCCCCTTCATGTTTCAAAAGTAGCGCAAGGTGCGTCGAATCATGAGGCACGTGCAACCTGCAACCTTTGGGAAGATCATGGCGGCACAGGGCAGCACTGAGCTAGATTTCAGACGCCATGTTCTTCCCAGAAGTGGCTCGCGGCACGTGTTTCGAGCAATGGTGCCACTTTTCCCAGGATGGGGGTCTTTAGGAGAGTCTGAAAGAAAATGCACCCTCGCGGCAAAGAGCCGGGTGTCAGCATAGTTGGGTCACATAGTGTCAGTAAGTTTGCGTAAAGTGAGAAACATTCCACCAAAGCTCTGGCTTCCGCCGTGCTTTCGTTGGGCGCCGCGCGTGCACGCTTGTGTAAGCAAGGGCAGAAAGCTCGCGCTGAAGGCGGAGCTTCTTCTATCAGCTTAAAGGGGTACGGAAACGAAATGGTTGCCCTCATTTCTTTGTTTAGATGCGGTCTATGTTGTGCCGGCAGCCCATAAACTGACGAAAAGGCAAACAGCGCACAGTAAAACGGGATCTAAAGGAAGTGCAAACAGGACAAGCGCTGACTCTCAACTGAAATTTAAGAAAACATTACATGAAAACTGACGAAAAGGCAACATCTTTTCATCCCCTCATGAGTTTATGTTATATCTATGTGACTGGATGTCTGCGAACTAATCAATAATCAATTTCTGCAATTTCTCGTTGCGATCGGTGGTGGGAGCTGTAGGGGGCATCTGCCATTGCGTTGTCATGGATGTGGGTGCAAACCTATCCTCAGTAAGACTGTTATCATTGGCAATGGAAGGGACATATTGAATAGAGAAATTTTAGAGGCGCTTGCAATTATCAAAGCAGGCGCGAACTGTGCAAGTCAAACGTCAGTGGGCTTGAGTATAGTAAAGAGAATGTCTTTCTAGACACGTGGTGAATGTATCAAGTGACGTGGGCGGGGTTGCTGTTTTCTTTGTTTTGTTTTCATGTGATTACATTTCAGTTGAGAGTCAGCGCTTGCCCTCTTTGCACTTCCTTTAGTCCTCGTTTACTGTGCGCTGTTTGCCTTTTCGTCAGTATGAACACACTAACCCACATGGCCACCCTTATTCAGCCCATAAACTGTAGTATAGTCCAGGGTTTCTGGGCTGCCGGCAGAAAAGGGAAGAAAACTAATTTTAAAACGAATGTACAGATTACAAAATTATGCCTGCAGGTGGCTGTCTGTGAAGCTCCATTGTGGGGAGCCTTCATACACTTTCGCCACGTTCCCTACTCCGTTGGAACGCCGGCACGTCAGAAGCAGCGCCAGTTAGCGTAAACTATAATTTCTATTCCATCACCAAGTTGTTCATGGCACTGTAAATTCGCGGCTTTATTACAAACTATTGAATTTCATGTTCCCTCTCGCCCGAGCCGAAACATTTCAACTTTTTATCCATCTTGCTTGTCCGCTGTGGTCAAGGATACAAATTGCTTATGATTCACAAAAATTTAACCTCGACATCTTTTCATCCCCTCATGAGTTTATGTTATGTATACGTGACTGGATGTCTGCGAACTAATCAATAATCAAGTTCTGCATTATGGTAATTTTGCGTGACTTTTATTGATTTAACTTTGTTGTTTCCTGTATTTTTAGGTTTTACTCCATGTATGCTTAGTGCATCACACTGTAAATTAAGAGGTTGTTTGTGGGCACGAGAAAAATAAAACGATTTATTATTATTTTTATAAAACAATTATTCTACTCCGTTCACACTGCCTTGACTGGGCTGCTCGCTGCACGAGCGTTCGTGCAGCCGCCGAGGCTTCATCCAAACCAACTAGCTCGCGCTTTTAGCATGCGCGGCTAACAATAGTCTATGCTAAGATCAGACGAAGTATTGGCGGCGAGATGTTTCGGTGGCGCCCTCCTGTGGTTACCTTTCGTGACGTCATTACCTTGTGAACAACAAGTTCGCTGGTGTTTTTAAAGAGCATGGTGAAAGCTTGAAATCATATCACTCTCAAACCAACACTGCCAACACCGTAAAAATTGAAGTTCTTCCATTCCTCTTATTTCCGTCGCGGGGAAATCTTTTGCTGACGTCGTAGTCAGCATTCGGCCTATCGTGGAAGACCGATCACAGCGACGCTTTCGACCGCTCACGTCGCCAATAGGCGGGATTGTCACGTGTTGACGTCACCAAACGGCATGGCTCGCAACTACATTACCCTTGACCGTACATGAACTATTGACGTCACGAGCGCGATACGGATTGCGCTTCTCGCTGGCAGACTTAAAGGGACACTGACAGGGTATTTATGCTCGCCGAGTTTTTTAATTGTACGTGACATATGAGAGCTCAACCAGCTCAACTACCCAGAACAGAATTTGCGGCTCGAAATTCGGTTTCTTTCCGCCCGAAAACCGCCGATCAAGAACTGGCCGGTTCGAGTCTCGCTCACTCTCTTTTCCGCAGTACGGGCCGTTTTCTAAGGTATCGATGCGACCACCAAATTTAATCAAAGTCGTAGGTCACTGAAAGCACACACTCAATATTAAAAATAGAAAAAAATATGAAACCCATTTTTTGTGGCTTCTAAAAAGCTGCAAATACGTTGATTGAAAAAAAAAGTTGCACAGACAACCGGAAGCATTCTGTGCGTGCGTCGTTTCGCGTATCGTGGGACTCGCAGGGACGGCGATGGCAGCGGACGACGGGCGTGGGACCTCTATTTCAGAACTGTCGTTCGCGGTACCGGCGAATTTTGTCTGCCTTTAAAAGAGAAATTTGGGACTTGTCAAAAGAATCGGTATCCATCCCGTACGACACGCCCGACCACCAAGCCGATTTGCACGAAGACGTCGCCGAGCCGTCGCTCCCTTGCGGCTGAAGACATCGCTCGCGCAAACGTCAAGCGCGACGTGTCTACTTCGAGTTGAATATGCACACGTACGATTTCTTTACTAGGTGAGAATGTCGCCAATGCGTGGTGCATCCCGACTTCGACCCGGGAGTGCGTTTGCAAGAGGAAAATCGGCAGCAAACTTTCCAACTCACAGTCTATCGGCTGAATTATTACTAAGGAAAGAGATACCCCAATTTTGATATGCCCCAGGAGCTAGGAGAAAGAAGAAGACGCCGTTTCGAACGGACGTGTTTTCATGATCTCCAAGGAAAATCATCAATCGGCCTCAGGCCGAGGAAACCCCAGTACTTCAAGTTTAAATGGAAATAACGATCTTCGAATGATGCACCCGGAGAATACTGTGGCGACACCCGTAGGCCCAGGAAATGCCCAGGCTCAGGCGGTAAGCCAAGACGAGTACCGAATTCTGCTTCCACGATTTCCGCCGGCAGCTTTGTGCCTTAACTCTGTGTTTCTTCATGCTGACCTCACTGGTCGACCTTACCGTGCGATGGACTTTCGCGACGGCCTGAAAGATGTGGTAGATCTGAGTGACGTGCTGTCCCTCGGGCA